TGATCCGAGTCGACGCCTTTAACGGCGCCAATAAGATGGACCAGCTTCCATTCCATCTTGACGGATGTCTCGGCAACAATATTTCACGCGTCATACCGGGACCAGTTTTGCGTTTTTTGCCCTCCTAGACAGAAACTCCTTAGGCGAATGGAGACTTCGTTTTTTCTTACATTGCCAAGGTCATTCACATGCTCCAGTTCGAATAAGCTTCCGGTACAGTACGCGCGATCGTTAACTATCAGTTGGTTTATAATTATCTATAAAAATGATGCAATTACTTAACGTCAGCGAAAATAATTCCCAGCCGAGATTGTCATCGGACTTAGGAATTGCCATCACTTGGAAGCACTTTAACGCTGTGTTGTGTCACTCTGCGCACTGGGTACTCCAAGACAATACGACCTACGCAATCGTCTTTACGTACCTAGATACTACACGACCCACGAGTCATATATTCTAGGAGCGATTGTACATGATAGGTTAATGAACAGAGTTACCAAACAGTAATGAATAGACATTTCAGATTAAAATGGTAAAAATAAAAAACACGTGATTCTAAATCTCGCGTCTCGTGCGCCGGAATCCAAAAAATACCTGGACTTCTAATAGGTTTTAGCAACAGTCATTTAGCAAAAAAAAAAACGGTATTTATAAAAGCGGGACGCTGTCTTCACGTTCAGCATCCCACATCCGATACTCCATTTAAACAGTTCTGAATCTTATGCATTTCAACGAATCCCATACCTGTGTGAAGTTAGCCTCAGTTTTTACCAATAGTTCTGTCCAATCAAAAAAAATGGATGAAACGAGGCGATGCCTTCTCCTCTACCTGTACTGCTGAGTGCGCGGAAGGTAAAGTCCATTGATCAGTTTGAATTTCAATCCATCGATTAGTCTGAAGGGAGCCGAAGATCCGTAAGGTTGGTACTGTCACGTGAAAAAGTTTTCCCAAGCGCAAGATAACTCGTGGACAACGCTCGCATGGAGACGGCCGAGTGCCAGGGCACGCCTTGGTGCGATTCTTTTGTTCACTTGGCGAACAAAGCCCCCTGGATGGACGGATGGACGAGGAAGAGGAAGAGGAGGGTACTCGAGGGGAATTCGAGTAGCCGCTTTAAAAGCCGGGCCCACTGGAAACCGATACCGATCGCCATATTGAATCACTGAGTAAAATGAGGCTTCGATTTCTGGACGTGTACTCGTCCTCTCTCTCGGTCTTCATATTTTCCTGATACTCCCTCTCTCTGTCTCTCTCGCGTCTTCGACAGCCACTTCATAAAAATGACGACGAAAACGATGCGACGCCTGCGATATCGCGTGACGTCACGATGTCTTCCCTGCTCCTGACACACCCCAAGTCACCCTTATTCTTATTTTTTTCTCCAGGGCGCAAGATCACCGTAATACTATTTCCTTATGCACAGATTCCATACCGTCTTATTCTCCTAGACGTCAAACCAAGAAAAATCCTTGACTTTCAGCTATACGCACGAGACGAAGACCAAGTAAATGCAGTGCTAACGATCCCCGTGTTTACAATCACCGATTGACAGAAAGACGATAGGACTCGTCATGATTCTCTATCGGAATTCGTCTTCACTCATTTTATACGTGCAGAGTATACCTGTATCGGGTATCCCGAAGGGAGAATTTCAATAACAAAATCACATGAAAATTTTACCCATAAAAAGATTAAAGAGTGTATATGAAAAACGAATACTAGCAGTTCCAGACGGTCGGCCTACTGTTCGCGGAAGAAGTGTCATTCCTCGTATATACATATAGGTATATGCGCTAGGTAACGTAGGTACGGCCAAGGTTCAGCTAACCTCTCTCCGGGTGACTTAAATATAGCGCATGACTTTGCGAGGCACGACGTTCCTGAAATTCATACGAGAATAATAAACCCAGGAAATAAAATAGTCCGCAGAGAATCCTAACCTTGAAATAAACTGTCGTACACGCGGAGTGACGGATATCGAGAACCGTTCGCGAGTTCAAGATAGTTTCAATAATTTTAAAAGTAACATCGCGCCACTCGGCGTAATCGGACGAACGAAAACAGTGACGCGCCGGTTGACTTAACGAGAGAGAAAAGGGCAGAGACGCACGAGCACGGCGCACTCCTAGAATAATCTCGAAGGTACGCGTGCTGTATGAAAATATTGAAAAATTGTTCAACGGTGGATGGACGTACAGTTTGACTAATTGCATTGGCCTTTGACGTCGAGGAGAAAGAGAAAAGAAACGTCCAAGAGAAAGAAAAAGATCCCAGTCGCATATCAGTCGAACAATACGTAACGGTTGTTGCGCTTGGGAATGAAATGGCGGCACGATTAAATAATAGTGCTCTGAAACCGTCTAGCGTCTTTGGTTTATATAATAGAATCAACGATTACGAACTGATTTCACTAATTGCCCAAGATGCTTCTGACGAGACTCAGAGCGAGTTGTTGCATGCGTTTTGAGTTTTGTATTTTGAATAATCTTACTTTGGCGGTAACCTTGTCGCGCAGCTGCATCACCCGAGTCCCACGGGCCATTCTAGTGCGTGGTCGTTTATCCTCACCCCATAGTATGCTATTCCAGGGTGACGGTGGGGTCGGTGCCGACGGAGGTGGCAAAACGTAGAGCATCGCACTCTTTTGTTTTAGTAGAATCATCTCCAGGGTGTACGAAGAGGAGCTGACTCTAGGATCTTAAGAACCTTTAACGATTCGCTGCTCGGGATTATTTGATCATTGTTCACCAGAGTGGTAAATGATTTTACTTGTTATCAAGGGACACTTGAGACGAACAGAAGTCCTTGTCACGAACACCTATCAGCTGTCACGAAAAGTCGGCTCATACGAAACTCCATGTATTTTATTTAATCTATGACGAGTCATCGTTCCTGCCGCGTTACGCGTACTTCAGAGGATTATTTAAAAACAATCCGAGGCGCTCCGAGTAATGTCGGTTTTTATATCGATTTCGAGTTAAACTCGTGGAGGACGTCCTGATTTCGCGTCGTACCGTCCTTACGAGAGACGGCGAGCGACTGAATGAAAAGCTTCGGCACCGAGCGAAGTTGGCCGCGCTTCCTTCATCCCTTCCAATGGTTAGAATTCTGCAGCCACTAGCAGCCTCCACTTACTGACAGATACAGAGCTAGCGCCACGACGCCCTGCGCCGATACTGGAATTGTCCATGGCCCTATGTGCATGTATGTGTGCACGTATTGAAAGATAGAGACAGAAATACATATAAGCCCTTAGATACCGTAGAGAGTGATATTTACCATACCAGGATGTTATCAAATCCGTTACCAAATTCATGTTATCAAATTGAGTCAGATCTTCATTGTTTGACGCGTTTGAACGATCGGAGATCCTAACAATTCTATTATTGGGAGTAAACGTGAAATTAACGGCTGGCGTATGTGGAGCTAATGGGATGATGTGGATTGACCGGAAACCAGTTCGCTGCGATTTCCTAGTCAGCTATTTAAGCGACGTGACAAAGCAATGTAATAGCCAATTGGATAAATCGCATCCTGATAACTGATTCAATGCGTTATCGCTTTGCACTAGTCTCTCTGGATTGTAAGCGTTTCTGATTGCGATAGACGTATTTGGTAAACAGCTTATTGCTGATACATACTCAAACAGAATGCTTTAACAGATGTTATTATTTGATTAATGCTTCGCTGAGTATAATTAGGAGATTAATCTTGGAGTTTACTATAGACAATTTGTCAGGTGCGATACGATTTCGCAAATTGATGGAGGAACAGTTTTAAATTCGCGGGAGGGCCAATAGAAAGTTATTCCAGGTCATTTTTGGTAGCTGTCAAGAGACTGGATTTGAACTGTTCTTGTTATATTTGGAGCATCGATAGATTTAGGATGAATTTTATGAAAATTGTGATATCTTTTCAATGACTTCATGCTTGACGTGCTGTATCGGATTGAGGAGGATCCTTTTGTTTGTAAAGTTTCGGATGCTCCCGATTGCTCCGTATGATTTTGATGGTTTATCTGCAGCTTTATCTCACTGAGATTCGCAAAAATTGATAGGCACGAGTACAAGTATTATAACTAGAGTCAAATGACAGAGTGTACTGTCAACGAATAACGTTTTCTTTTTGCAGAAATACAAAACTCACCGAACTCTGGGGGGAACTGGTGACGCTCGGCGATCGTTGCACCGTGACCAGGGCCATTCTCACGAATGCACTTTAACGATATTGTGACTGTCTCGTTTAGTTATCGTTAACGATTGGGATTCGCGACGATCGTACCGTCAGGAACACGTTAGGACGATCATTTTTCGCGCACGTCAAACGGCATCAAACTCGCGTCCGCCATGTTCAATACATTCCCGCACAATAGGGACAGCGCGCATGCGCGCGATTAGAGTTTGCGCGCGCAACTCGAACATTTTCACGGTGAGTGACGTCAGCCACCAGCCTCCCTCGATTATCCATACTCTTTTTTTCCTCTTCTTCCTCCGTATCCTTTCCCTCTTCTCTATTTATCTGCTATTGTACGCGCGATTCCGCTACAGATTGTCGACTCCAGTACATACATCAATGCATCATAAATCCTCGGGAGCATGATACAATTTTCATGACAAGCCGAATTAAGTCCCTACGGATTATATGTGTCCGCAAATTAATAGTCTTGAGATTATATAATAATGTAATTACCAATTTACAAGATTAAATACCGTAAGGAAATTATTTTGCATTTTGGCTAGGCGGGACATATTTCTTGGCTACTGATACTATTGGGTCTCATGGTTCGAATGTTTGTTCAGCGATTTATTGCAGAGAAGCAGTTAAACTCTATATGATTTATATACCTATATATTTTGCTACGCAGAATAAATTGATTCACGTTTTGAATTGCGCAGCAGACGATCTGGCGGATCTTCGCTGCAACTTCACACTAGATATATTTGAATTAATATTGGACGCCTGATACAATATTGCGCGTAATGCGGTAACCATAGATGGTATCTTTCAATAGGATGCATGACTGTTACTCTCGGATATCTTTTCTTCAAATTATTTTACAGCTGTGACAATACCGAATCATGTTCTTTGCACCGTTTTAAATGGCACAAGATTTGGGCCACCTAAACCAGAAAATCGATGCGCAATGCACTAATACGCAACCTCAGGCAACGTTCAGACACTTCAAATCGTAATGTGACTTGTGCTTTACCAATAAAATTGCACAATTCAAAAACTTTGTTTAAGTCGCATATACGGCGTGTTGCACCGCGAGATATCATAAAATACGTGCAAAACGTAGTGATTTATAAAAATGTCATTGATATTCACACCGATAAACCAGATCAGGTTGACAAATGTCGCTGTGGTACGAATGAAAAAAGGTGGAAAGCGATTTGAAATCGCTTGTTACCGAAATAAGGTTGTATCATGGAGAAACAAGTTGTAAGTTGATACTAAGTACTATGACGAGGTTTTATCCATTTTTTTGATTATATTTATGCAAATTCTTGGAATTTGTAATAAACCTAACCTAGAAAATGTAAAAATCGTGGAGGTGTTCACCTGAAGTCTCCTACGAATCTTATACAGAGATACAAGGTCTTTTTGTTTGTTTTCACAGGGAAAAAGATATAAACGAGGTACTTCAGACTCATACAGTCTTTACAAACGTATCCAAAGGTCAGGTAGCGAAGAAGGAGGATTTGATAAAAGCTTTTGGCAAAGAAGACCAGACAGAAATTTGCAAGGACATCCTTGAGAAGGGGGAACTTCAGGTGTCTGACAAGGAGAGACATTCTGCTTTGGATTCTATGCTTAAGGATATCGCTACAACTGTAGCAGAAAAATGCGTAAATCCAGAGACTAAACGACCCTACCCTGTTTCAATGATTGAAAAGGCCATGAAAGATATTCATTTCTCAGTGAAACCTAATCGCAATGCAAAACAACAAGCTTTGGATGTTATACAACAACTAAAAACTGTAATGCCTCTCGAACGAGCTCAGATGAGACTCAGGGTTCTTATAACAGGCAAGGAAGCACGAAAATTAAGAGAGAAAATAATGAAACTGGCTGCTAAAGTTGAATCTGAAGATTGGGACAGTGGAAGCTTGAATTTGATTTGTCTAATTGATCCAGGGCAGTACAGGGAGATTGATGAACTGGTACGCTCTGAGACTAAAGGCCATGGTATACTGGAGTTATTGAATTTGAAGGAAGTTACAGAGGGAGAACAAGTTTTGGAATAAAAATGTGTATGAGACAATAAAGTTTTTGCATTCTTCGTACGATTTTATCGCGGATTCCGAAACTTGCTTACATTTGATACATCAACTACGTCAATAATAGCTTTTGTAATGACTTCTTCTATGAAGACATAAATTTTGGTTTTTATTACGTTTTTACGTCTTACATATATATATAGATATATATTTTACGTAAAGTTCTATGTAAACGATTATCGTAGATTAAGTTGTTAGAATTGTCATTTAATAAATATACGTTCTACATGTATACGAATAACATCAATCAACAAGATAAATAATTTCTTAGCAGTATCAGTAATGACTATTTCCATGGTTAGATATATAACAAATTCTATACGAGTATAAGGTATTCCTAATTATATTTCTGTTGAATCTCACGGTTTATGCGACATAAATTCTTTCAGCATATATAATTCGTGTCTATAAAAACCTTTTATTCTGCTGCTTACGTAGTTCGTAAAATAAAAGAATATGGAAGCTCTAATGCTTTAATAACAATGATAATTGCGATTGATAATTTGTATGGCCAAAAGACAATTCAGATTTGTAACTTGGTCAAGAAACTGCTTTTAATACTCCGCAGCATTGTATTGCAGCGCGCCACAATTGTGATTTATTTTTATATTCTAGCGATAATACACATACTCATGGTACTTTTGGTAAGTTGAGTGCACTCTAACTTGTGCCCTGCACAATTTACTAAATATCAGTCATTTACTTTTGTTCTGTGACTTCAGCTCGAGGGATGTAAATATTTTCTGTGCGCTCGTCACACTTTGCAGCAATACGCGATATGGTTAAAAGAAAGTCAGACAACCTGTTCAAATAAGTTTGTGCTTCCCTGTCTAGCGCACCATCCCGTACTAGTGGAGTGACACTTCGTTCTGCACGCCTGCAGATAGTTCTTGCCACATGTAAGGATGCACAAGCCTTGCCTCCACCCTGATAAAATACCAAAAAGTTATAAATGTATTCTATGCACCTTTGCTAAATAGAGTAAAATAAATTCATAAATATATATATACAGGAATGATGTAATCTTCCGGAGGTGGTAATTGATTAGAATATTCCAGTATCCACTCTTCCAGATCTTTAGTGTGTTTGTTCTCGAAAGGCTTAGTCTTTCCAGGTATGGATTTAGAAATGGCATGACTAAGATCGAACAATATCATTTGCACCCTCTTAAGTTTATCCACATAAGGATGCTCAACTTTTCCATCACACGCAAACTCTCTAGCTAGTCCAATATAAGAGGAAAGCTCGTCAGTAGCACCAAGAGCGTTAAAGACCAAGTCATCTTTAGGCTTTGTATCACCAGCATCAGTGATAGCCAAACCAGAATCACCATCCCTTGAAAATACAGCTACTTCAGCAACATTTGAAGTATTACCGGTACTACTGTAATACAAAAATATATAACCAAGTAGTAAAGCAATGTCAATCTTTAGTCTTTAAAACTTATTAGGTTATAATCCTCTATTATCTCTTACCCGTTTCTCAAGGAAGCTTGCAAACTGCTTTTATACACGAAGAGGGATCTCCTCCAGACATTCCTAGCCAGATCCATATCTTAAAGGAAGATTATAGCAAAATCAATTAATAATCTTCCAAATTTTATCACTGTTCTCGTATTATCATCAGTTACCGCTCTATCAGCTGCCGTCTATTGCCGACCGTTCATGCAAATGTGGGAATGAATCCAGACAGAACTCACTGAGATCACATACGACTTGGAGATAGTTACAACGCAAAAATAGGACACACAGGAAAAACGTGAGAAAAACGTAAAGAATCTTCGTCAACCATTTCTGAATTCGCCTAGAGTCCAACGGCCGTCGACGAACGAAGTATAAACTGACGCACTCATTAATCGTTCACGTAAAAAAACATCTGTGAAGGTAATTAAATGGCAGTTATGCGTACAAAAGTCTTCCTCCTTAATATATATAAATAATAATTCAATTTTATTTATCTATTGACGCCATACGTTTTCCATCACAAAACTATAAAGCTCACGGATCTTGGCAACAGTAGACGCCGTTGCATCATTTGAATTTGTTTTCCCGAAAGTCATATATTCTATAACCGAAAAACCGCTCTTTGTAAGCCTAATTGATAATCTCATTATATTTTCATTGAATAATTAATGATAATACCCATCCCACTCCTGTTATCATCTATAAAATTTTCCAAGAAGGTTTAATTAGTTCTTAAAAAGTTAATAGCCCTGGGAATTTACAAGGAATGCTGAATACCTTATAATTATAGCTTCATGAACGTACAAAAAGTATTTATATTTTTTCGCTAGAGCGAAAGAAGAAAAGATAAACGTAACTTCATTAATTAAAAGTTGATTAGCATTGATTAATAACGAGCGCGGAAATTTAAGAAAGCTCTGACGCAGTGAATCACAATCGTATGAACCCATTGGTGTCGGCCAATCTATTTTAAGTCTATCCTGAAGGCTGTAAACGCGGAGCAACAAAATCAGACTAGTCCCTGTCCGTTTCCCGTATGAAAAAGAAACAGCACGCGCTGTCAGGCAAAATTGAAATAATGTATTCCGATTCAGAAGACATGGCGAAGGAGGTCAAGCAGAAACTCATACTCCATTGGAATTATCGGGGACTCAAAGAGATACCCGAGGTGGTGAGAACTTACGGTAGCCACATCGAGGAAGTTTATCTGAAATGGAATCAACTAACGTATTTACCAATCTGGATTGCCGAGTTGCATAACATAAAAAATCTCTATCTTTATGGGAATCGCATTCACAATCTGCCCGAGCAATTCGGAGCTGTGCGCCAATTAACAGTTCTCGACTTGAGCGCTAATCAATTCCAATCAGTGCCAGGATGTATTGGAGAGCTCAGCAACTTGAAATCCCTGCTCTTGAATGATAATTCTATAAAGAAACTGCCAGCCGGTGAGTCGTATGAAGGTCCATGAAAAGAAAAAAAATTCTCTAAAAAAATCTCAAGATTTTACGCACAGAATTGCATCGGCTTGAGAGACTTGAGGTATTGTCTATATCTGGTAACCGATTGGTCACTTTGCCAGAGTGGCTTGGATCACTTCCAAATCTACGTGAATTAAATGTCGATAATAATCTATTGAAAGAATTGCCTAATAGGCTTACACTGGCTTCCGAGTTATCAAGCATTTCTGTATGCTCCAACAGGTTGTTGTTATACGTATCCGTCTGACTCTTTGTACTTTCATACCACTGACATTGTGTGATATATACTTTTAATTCCGCAGATTAAGATATTTACCGTTAAATGGATTTCTATCTAATCCTATTATAAGATTTGACTCGAATAACTGCCTTAATTATTTATCTTATATAGTACTGTGTCAAATGATTATAGCTGTTCCACGTCCAAGAAACGTTGGAAACGTTCTGGCATATGGGTAAACGTATAAATGCTTTTTTAAATATTTTAATCAATATTAAAATACCGCAATTAATTGTAATTCCCCTGTCTTGTATTGTTTAGATGTTTTAATATACATAAAGAAGGTAATTTATCTCATAATAATATCAAGCTCATTATAAGCGCACACACTGCCAACGAGGAATTGATTAAAATTCCAATTGAATTGCCAAGGCAATTATTAAAAGTATATACCGTCCATGAAAATAGAACAGTCTCCCTGTGGGAATTGGCATTGAGAAAAATATATAATTCAAGGTAATTAACAATGCGATAATTAGGAATTTAGTGGACCAATTAACAATTATTTCAGGTATCGACATACCGTGGAGATTTTTGTTTCACCATTGAAAGTAAAAGTGTCGCATCAATTGGTTAGGAAAAGAAAATTATCACAGCATCTTCCCGACGACTATGTGCCATATAATTTAATTGAAAATGGACCAATAAGCATCTGCACGAATCCCCACTGTCAGGAGCCGATCTTTACAGAAGCCTGGGTGACCGTTGGAATGGGTCGTTATGTTTATTCCATACCGACTGTCGCCCTGTGTTGTAGTAGAAGGTAGAAAATAAAATTTAATTATATTTATAATTAATTATAAACACCTTCTTGTGTTTCAGCTGTGCATCTAAGTACGTGGCGTTCTCAGGCGGTATAATGAATCTCCTATGGCACATAGCAGATGACTGATCACATTTAATTATTTATAATCAATTTATTATGTACAAGATTGTCGAATGTACAAATGCAACAAGATTAATCAGCCTTAATATTTATTGAAACGACTCTTACCTTATTGTATTCGATATCTCATCGTCTTGTCTTCACAAAAATTTTAGCAGCCTCAATAGTTATGCGAAAAAAAAAATTTTTCGACATGGAGGAATTCGAGACGAAGGCTTGGCCCTTGGATACGCGTACTATAGGCTCACAGTATGCAGTCTTATTCATTTAGATGTTTCATCGTGTATAACAGTGTCCTTCAGCACTGTATATTCTTCACATTACATGGTAGCTTACGAGAGCACCAGGCATCTGTAGACACTAAGCGACTAGAAAGTCTAGGGCTCGATCCCTATCGATGTTGCACTTTAGTAACGCTAAGGATGCTTTGTCTTCAGGAAAACCCAGATCCCTCAGGGTGCGTAAATTCTCGTAGTACTCCTTTGCCTTGTCTTGATCGTATTGTGTCAAGGCTAGAGCCTTCTCAGCATCATCACCTGAGATTCCAAACTCTTCCAGTGATTGTACGGCTAGTAGATATTCCACTACTTTCTTGTTATCCTGACCACCGAGGTCGTTTATAGCTCGTGCCGCCCTGGACAATGGGAAACCCATGTCGCTGAGGTGTTTCGCTAGCTTTTGATTCTCTTCCGAAAGATCCATGAGAGGGTTGGACAGTTTTGAGAAGCTGGTGCACGTAGAGTTGTCTTGTTTCGTGATAGAGATTCCTGTATCACAGTCCGGACTCTCCAGATCTGGCCATGGCTTCCAGTTCTGGTGGACAATGAGTTATATATATAAGAATTCGTCTCGTAAAAGATATTGATAGTTACGTTACGTACCTCCATTATAGGTCGTGCTAATTCTCGCTGAAGTTCCTGGACAATTATAGAAACGCTACGTTTATTAGAATCGTTCCGTTTGTCTTCCTGTTCCTGATTATCTCCCTGCATCTTTGTTTGTTTTTCCTTCTCTTCCTCTTGTGGCTCTTCCAATGTTAATTCTTTGAGGATATTTTCTAATTTTGCTGGAGGAACCCACTGTGCTGTTGGTTGCAGTACCTATTGAAAAGATAAGAAGCCAAGTGTTATTTTATATTGATTAATGCACATATGGATATTCAAGACGTATAAGCAATAAACCTGAGCAAGCTCTTCCATATCATTGATAGTTTTCAACTCCATATTATCAAAAGGACTACTGGTGTCATTGTCAAAATCTCGGAGATCTAGTCCATTAGATTTCACAAGATCTTGGAGGTCATTGGCTGGTGGAGATAGGGGTTGCGGTGTGAGTATCGTTGTTTCAGGAGCTGGTGGTACCTTAACCGGTAATTGCTTTACCGTCTCAGGTGGTGGTGGCGGTGCCGGAGGAGAATCTTCTTCATCCTTTCTGTTCTTTTCCTCCAGACGAATACGATGGGCTTCATTGTTCGCGTTTCTCATCTTTCGCCATTCTGTCATCTTATCGAATGTTAATCTCTTTACGTTAGGTCGATAATCTATGCTAAAGAATATTGAAAGCAGCTACGTAATGATAGAAATGTATGACTTTACTTTGAAAGAATGTAAGTTTTGAGTTACAGCAGTGGTCTTTTTCTTTATCTAATAAATACCTTATCAATTATAAATACACTACACAGAATCAAGTGGAAGCTACTCGTAATATATTGTCTTACCTTTTCCAGCACAGACTTCTCCAGGCTGAAGTCATATGTGTGTTTAGACACATCAGGTAACTTATTATTGTATGCTGCAGGCAAGGCAATCTTCCTTGGCGGTTTGTAGGCCTCTGCTATTTTGACATGAACTCCATCCATGTAGGATGCAACAGAATCACATTGTGCTGAGGCAGTGGGTCGTGCCATGTTGAGTAAAACTTTAACTAGCGCACTCAAAAATGTTATAGATTACTAAAACAATTAATGAAAAACACAAGTGATAATTTGTCGGACAGCACGCACTTGGTTCCTAGAAACATTCATAGAAGTTCGACAATGTGAAAGCCTAACCATGAACTTACTGAATTGCTGGCACTTGTATAAGGAATAAAATATTTCACTACGCATAAGTCCACTTTTATTCACTTGCATAAAAATTAATAACACGGCACTGACAGACAAAGAAAATAATACTTTATTTAGGTATAATAGCGTGCCTTGCGAATACGTTTTGTCGCGAATTTGATAGATCATCAGCTTCTTGCAGCCATGTTAAATAAAAAATCTCGTGATGGAGCATTGTCATACTGATCATAAATTCTCTCATAGAAATACATGAAAAAAAGCTACTGACATATACTGATTTTAGAATTTGCTATTTTAATATAACTAACGAAATTTCATGTCTTTGATCTATATTAACAATCATTTTACATTTGACAATATTTTAAAAGTTTTTTTTTTAACGTGACTGTACTTTAAGCGAAATCTCAGTAGATAACGATTTTTTCCATAATGGTATTCAATGATTGAAGAACAATAGAGTTGATAGGTTCTAAAGAATTTATTCTAAACCACATCTATACAGTTTTTTCCTTATTATTGTCAATAGTTTAATAAATTACTATAGTCTTTAGATTATTATGGTATATACTTTCACAGTTTTCCAGGTCAAGGCATTTCTTGGTATACTCTGGAACTACCTAATAAAAAACTAGCGTGTCATACAAAATTTATCATTTTAAACGATACATTTAAAAATACTATTGTCAATAGTGCTTTATACCTAATTCTCTCTTCTTTTTAGGGGGGAACAACAAATTTCACAGGTACTCATTTACCTTATCACTAAAGCGACTTGATTCTGATGTCCAGCATCAGATTTAGTTGAGATCGTGACAGCACGAGATACAGTATTATCGCAATAATTTTGATAACAAAGTAAAAATACAAATAGTATGTTATAGTATAAACTATATTACATATAAATAAGATTAGCTAAGCTAAGTGTCTAATTGGTTCTATCATCAACTGGATAACAAATTTGATTTGGCCACTGTCTGCGAAGGTGGTTGTATCCCACTTGTGTTTTGAACTTTTTGAACTTCCTTCTCAGTATCTTGCATTACATTCTTTTTTAATTGTTTGGCTTCTAATGATTTCATATAAGCAAGGAAGGATGTCCACATTAAGCTACACACGCTGACGTATACCACGCGGTTGCGTTCTGGGACCACAGCGAAGTTAATGGTTTGCAAAATTGGCCAAACACAAACACCAACCTATATAAGAAATGTAGATGTGACCAAAAGTAACATTAAGAAATAAATTTTAATTTAGATAAATGCTTACTTTGTAAGTTGGCCAGAATTTTTGCTTCACTTCTTCAACACATTCTGAAATGGGTTTAAATTCTAAGAGATTTATTCCAAAGAAGAAACAACACATTGCAGCTGGACCGTATGAGACTTGTTCCACTAAGGCCTGTAAATGAACATGACGGAATAGTTATAAATATTGCAGAATGATTCGATCAAATGAATTTACCTTTGTGACTGCAGACCTAAAGTTATTCCGTGGCCACAAATATCCAGCACACTTGAGCCAGCAATATAGTGTTGGTGCAACAAAAAATCCTCCATATATGCTGAACCTGAGAGCTTGCATGTAATTCAAATCCTTCTTGCCTGAAATCTTTTGTTGTAATAAACTTCCAATAGGCCATATAACAGTGTACGATGCCATTCCCCTCACAATGGGATATTTCTGGGTGATCTCTCGGAACTTCACTAAGATAACTCTCATCCTTGCAAATACAATATTCTCTCTAAAACACAGAGTTCAAAATAGTCAAACCTCCTGCATCAATATGAGCCCATAACAGTTAATGGCTTCACTGTGAACAAAAGTATGGAATTATATCCACCATAAAAAAAGCACAGCAAATGAGTCAGTGTCTTTATAAAGTACAAGATCCGTACAAATACACAACGTTAAATACCTTATCAAACAAATCTGACAAGAACACAACACCCAGAATAGAATTTCAACTTCAGACACGTCAGTGGTCTGGGACAAAGTACTTTCGCGAAATACTAGAGCGCTAAAAGTTTAATGAAAATTACTAACATGTGATGTAATACCATACCGTTGACACATGACAGGTAACATTCCCTTGATAACTTGACATTTTTCTAACAAAACTTAGAACAATCGTTTTACAGAATTATACAAGCAACATCATACCTGTCTAAAAGGTAGCTTGGATTCCTTGAAGGATTTGCGAAACGTATAGTAAATAATTAATTAAAATCTACTCTTCGAGCTTTGGAATCTGCCTTCCCGCTCGTCGATTCGGCGCACAAGGAAATGCTACTTTTACCAGAAAAGAATTCAGGCTCGCGCATATTGGCAATCGTTTTGAATTGTTAAAGCGCAAGGCATGGATACGTATCGATGCTGCTGACGAAACACGAGTATCCATTCTTATCTGGCCTTGATGGACGACAGTAGATTTCCTACCAGCAGACCACAGCAGACTCATTGCTGCCGCTGACTCGTACTAGTCATACATATACAGTTGCGAAACAGATGAGACATTTCAGTTATAGTTTGAAGGAGCATAAGAATTTTGAAAGATGCAAGTGATTGAAATTTTATATAAGAACAATGAATGGCGAGGATTATTTAATGGAGTTTTCGAGAAACACCTACTCCTTATATTGTAACTCACAGTATATTCTGATAACAGAAAGAAAAACAGAGGTTTAATAATCGTACTTCTATACATTTAACCAGGGGGCCACTTTTTTTTATTACAAATATAATATATGTATATTGCCATAAGACGCGGGGAGACGCGTATACTCGATTTCTTTTTTAAAAATGTCTTCAAAATGTTGCGGTTATTAACAGCAATTAATACGTTGATTTAAAACACTAAGGGAATCTATTTGTAAGACTGCGATCAGTAACAAAGATCTGAATATTTGCATGGACTCATCAATTTTACATTAAGTAAATTAGTCTGTCGATAGATTAATAAAACCTATGTGGAATCGTTATGGAAAGTATTACGTAAACACGCACTACTTTCTCGGCTTATCTCAAAATAAATTTTGTGTATAATTGAAAATAATAATCATCTACTTCATTAGACCGCTGCTTCGAAACTCACGTAAAGGCTTATATGTTTGCAATACTAAACTCCACAAGCCAAATAAACTTGTGACAGTCAAAGAATGTCCTTTTCATTTCAGAAGCTGGAATTTGAATTTTGATGAATTCCGTAACGTTTACAACGAATGAGGTTTGCGAATTCATCGGTAAAATTATATACATAATTGACCCTTCTTCTAGAGTCGAGCGCCGACCAATCAGAAACATGATTGATAGAAAACGAACGTGAACAAAGTCAAAATTACTAGATACTATAAAACGACGCAAGTTCACTTTGCCACAATGTCAAAGAGATCGCAAATTCCTTCACTTTCGCTTAGATTAAATTGATAGTCCCTTTCTCCAGGCGGCGGACTCAATCTCACTAGTGGTCCACAAACTGAAAATAGAATACAATTTTATATTAGAGAACAACAAGCATGTGTAATCGTAATAACGATACTTACTGTCCGTGTAAAACTCGTCTAGCAAGTCTAGATCTGTCCTGACAATTTCTGCAAAATTAAGAAAAAAGCAGTAGAATAGACGCTCTTTTATCATGTTGTGAATATAAGATGCATCAAATATTTTACCTGATGTGCCCACACCACTAAGTATTATTTTGGCCTCTATTAATTCTGGGTCTTCTTCTTCTTCATCTTCAGATAATACAGGGTCTAATTTGCCGGCACCTCTTGGTGGTCTGAACAACATATCCATTATTATAATAGTTCGACTTTTACCAATGAGAATGTAGATTTATTCAAATCAGTGTACGGTCTTTACCAAGTGAGCTATTTTAACTTTATAATGACTCATCCCCAAATAAGACCATTACTTAATGTTTGCTCTGTGCAGATCAGAAACATGATCTATCCGTCTCTGATGCGAAGAGAGCAATAGATTTTTAATGAATTCATTGCATCTAGATATTTACCTTCCGACTTTTCTCTTTGGTTTGGATTCCTCTTTTTTTTCATCCTCCTCCTTTTCTCTCTTAATACCTTTTGGCTCCTCTTGGAGTCTCATTTCCAAAACTTTATTGTTATAAATTTCAGCCAATTCAGGTTGAATCATATACACTTTTATATCTCCTGATGTACTTTTCATATAGATTTCATAATTTATATTCTGCTCATCTTCTATTGCCTGGATCAAAATAATATATGAAGTTTGTGCAACACAACAAAATATGGATTTGAAAAATATTCAATTACATTACACTTCGATCTACCTTTGCAATATTTGGCACATGTAATTGTGTATCGGATGGAGCTTGAATTCCCAAAACAAGCTCCTCTCCAAATCTGTTTTTAACATCGTCATATGTAATATAAGCATACTTTCTATTTGCTAAATCGCTTTCAATATTCTTTATACTCTGCTGAATCCATTGGGTATGCGTATCTAATAACTTTTCATGATCTTCTAACTTTTGGATCTCATCTTTTAAATCAGTCAGCTTTTCACCAACCTCCTGTGTGTTGCATCCAGGACCTGCACCCCTAATTCAATAACTATTTAAATATCATTTTATATTTAACCAACAGGAACAAAGTTAATACATACTTCCACTGTATGCTATTCTTGCTTTTCTTTTCAATAAGACCAATTCCTTCAAGAACATTTGTAATGTCATATATACGTCTTTTTTGACGAACTTCCAAGATGTCTGCAGCCTGTAATAATTATTTTGTTTTGTTACATAGAACATTGAGTTTGCAACATTAAAATAATACTCTAAAACATTCCCATGCTCGAAACAGATATCACATCATTCTCAAAGTTTATTATAACATTGTATTTCTAATAATAATCATAGAAAATTAATATTAATAACAATATAAATATGTAAATCAACATAGGTTATGTGAAGTTAGCATAAGCAACAATGGATCCTGCAAATGGTGATAAATTATTCAATTATCTAACAGATTAAACTAAAATCCATGAAACTTAAAATAGGCTCAGCTGTCCAGCAGATAATAAAAATCTGTAAGTTATGAGGAACTTCTTTTAAAATTCCCGCAAGCCAGAAATGGCGTGTGCAACCCGCGACGAGTTAACCTAGATTCGAGATTAACTCCAGTATATTATTCGAAATAAATGTAAAAGTCTCACCACTTTTAAATCGAGAACGCCATCCTTAGCTTTCTGTAATAACGTGACGAAGCGAGTAGTTAATAATCCAAGGGATTTTTCAAATCTGCTTTGCTGATTGTCTGCCATACTCGTTAAGGCCGTTGTCAAAATTTTCAAAAGCTCGCACTCTCCTTCGAAATTGCCGCAACAGCCTGCACGCCATCACTGACCGTCTTGGAAATGCATTTGAATAAAGGCGCGTCATAATCTCAAAACATTTTCATTCTTTATAAAATTAATGTCAACAATTATTGCAAAAATCATCGCCGTTTTTTAAAAGAACTTATGACAATAGATTTAAATAAAATAAGACTGTTTCTCAAAGAAATTTCATAATTCAACTTTGGCCACTCGCGAGATTAACGAACTCGTCGTAGTATCTTTTAGCCAATCGAATTGGCTTAAACTGAGCGCGTTGCGATTGATTTTCTCCGAGCATATTCAAGCTCGAATTTCTACTGTAATGCAATTTATAACAGAACTATAAGGTTCTCTTAAGAATTCGTATTATGACTTAGATTTTACTGTAATAAATTATTATAACTATTAAGCCTCTTGCGATCTTAATGATTAATACGTAATTTAGAATTTTTATCTAGGCTTGTCCTGCGCTGTTACATTACTGATGTCTGATGCGCATGAATTAAGTTATCTGTGTTTGCTCATTTTGAAATTACTAATATTTAAAGGTACTTATCATTGCTATGATTAACTGCACTTTCACGACATTATATATACTGTTAACGAGGTACATGTATATAAGAAAATATCGTTGAAAAACCTTGCATATGGCTTCATTAACATGTATTTTTCAATTGATGTATGAAATATAAAAATAAAAATATGGACGTTAAGAAGACATCTCTATTTATTTTTCGCATATCTCATTTATGTAAAATTTTATGGAAATCTGTACATATAATTAAGCTTGATAGCTTTCGTTTACGGAAAGACAAATTCATTAGTGGCTGTAATGGCATCTGGACTTGGACTTGAACTTGCCGAGCTGAGAGTCTCATCTTTGACTTTGAGACTGCCTGATTCCTTATCCTTATTCTTTTCCTTTTCTTTGTCTTTGCTCTTATCTTTCTCCTTCTTATCTTTATCCTTGCCATGTTTGTGGTCATGCTTGTGCTTATGCTTGTGCTTGTGTTTCTTCTTGTCCTTCTTCTTCTTCTTACCCTGGTTAACATACGTTCATACGTTTAACTTATACGAGGAAAAAAATTAATATTTTCTTGTACTTACCTTGTTTGTAGATTCGCCTTTTTGCTTGTGATCGTCTGCTTCCTTCTTAAACATTCCTGGCTCAAATCCTACAGGACCTTGCGTTCCCATAATTCCAGGTAGGGATGCAGAATTGTCACTATAATATTCAGACTTGACTTTACCTTCCCCAGGAAGTGGCGGTCCACGATCTTCCGGCTATAAAATACCAAATAAAAGCAGTGATAATTTATTTAATGATTACGCAAGATTACATTTTCTAATATACGTACATTGTGTGGTTGCAGCTTTTGTCGTTTTACTTCTTGACCATAATCTGGTACATTTACAGGTCCAGGTACATCCCTATTGGGCGAAGCTTTTCTTTTATTCGGTACACTGACAATTTCAACATCAGCCGGTGGCTCGTGCTTCACATGCGGCACGATAACTTTTACCTATCATTGTCAAACTTATTAATTAATCATAATTATAATCTTTAATTACATTGTATTATCGGTAAAACTTACTTCTCGTTCAGGGCTGAGATGAGGACCAGCTTTACGTGGCTTAGTTATAGCTGCGAGTTCAGGAATAGGAAGACATAGAGGTCGTTTTACACCGTACAATGTGTAATAAAGATCCACCAGATCACATCTTAATTTGGCATCGTGGGACAGCATACCGCTGGTTAAAAAAATACATAGAGTATATTTATATTGGCCCATTTGAAGATTTTTTTATCTACTCACTTGATGAGATTCCAAATACGATCAACTAATTCTGGTTTATCCAGTCGATGCTTGTGTGCCCTTTCGAAAGGTGGATTTTCGACCATCAACCTGACTAATCTATGTCGAACTCCAGGATGTGGATCCATTTCAGCCATATCCAATAGGAATTCCATATCTTCCCATTTACCATCCACCCTAGTGAAATCAACAAGAGCTTCCAAAGCAGCTACTCGCACGTCTGCTCAAAGATAATTTCAATCATAATCAATATATTTCTTTACGGATTACACTTCCTGAGTTAAAACCTTTTTACCAATAAACTGTCCATATGAAGCATATGCCCTGAATAAATGTGGGTTGCTGGGTAGATGACCAAATTTTTGTAAAATCCTTATAACCTTTAAGCAGGCCACACTCACTGTGTATTTATAACATGGTAATAATTTTTCCAAATTTAAATTGCGTGTCACTTCTTCAAGGATAGCTTTTGTGTCGATGGATAAGGATTCTGCAGTAATAGAGGTTCTGAGAAATTACACAAAATTTCATTATATCCTTTGCCTATTGTATAAAATTATATAATAATGTGATTTAATTCTCACCCTTGCTGTACACTAATTACTGGAGTCACTGTGGCACCCAAAGCTTCGACCAGTGCAGCCCTATAATAATTATCGGAATAGCGATTTTTACTGTTGTCATTATACTTGAATAGATCCATTAAAAACGCAAGAACTTCTGGCGGGCAAATACCATGAGTATTTCGCAATCCAGCCATAGCCACCGGTATAGTCTATATGACATAAAATAATATAAGAGTTATGTGAATGATAAAATAAATAATTACATCAGTACGGTACCTTCTGCAGGAAGTAATGTTGGAAGTTTGAAAAATTATTCTGCTTGATGATCCTCCTACAGGATGCCGAGCCAAATAATTTTCGAAAAATTGCTAACATGGCTGGTGGGCCAGCCCACGTTGCTACCATAGCATTAGCAACTTTAGTCAAACAATGTGCTGCTCGTAGTCTGACTTTATAGTAGCAATGTTCATTCTCAATGGTATCTGTCAATGCTAAACGTGTTGCTGGCGTTGCATGATTTTGCAAGGCCTCAATTGCTTGCAGTTGGGCAGTTACGTCTCTTTCATGTCTTAACTGATACTGCCATTGATAATCAGGCTGTTCGATTTGCACAGCACGCATCAGAGTCATGTCTGGGTCCAGTCTTATCCATAGTACTGGAGAATCGCTGAAAAAAAACAATTAGTCTGTCATTGATATAATTTTGTTGAGAGAAAAAATATTCGATTTCATTAAAACCTGTATTAAAATCAAATTAGGAATGAATCTTATTGCTGTACGATACATGCAAATTTAGTGTAGAGTCGTATAGTTATCTTTAACTGTGATATGTGGTGTTTAACAAATTATTGTGATAAATTGCACAAAGCAAATTGCAATTATTGTGATGAACATGATAGTAAATGAGCAAAGCATTCTTATAACATTTCTGACAGAAATAATTTGGGTAACGTATAGTTTACATTGGTTCCCTCAGCGTTTTCCAATTTTTATTTCATTTCTCATACTCAACAAAACCATTCGGTTGAAAAACAATCTTGGAAAATACTGAAGCGATTGGTAACTGCTGAGAGTGCTGGTGCTTTACCAGTATAAAAAACACCTATAGCTAAATTTATTACCCTGAAAAAATAAAAGATGAAGCATATGAATAGTTCTCTATAACGTATCTGTAAAGAAGATGGCGAATCAGAGTTCAAAGAACTTTACAAAGCAAGGGAATTTGTAAAGGAATAAGTACGATATTATTAATCATCGAAGCACTTACTCCATAGCTGATAGATCCATGTCTACTTCTTCTCCGGTACATAATGGAATTTTCTTTTTCTTATTTCGCCTGCTTTTACTGTGACAAGTGATGTCTGCTTTTGCTACGGTACCTTCTATTTGTAAAGTGTGTTTAAAGGTACCATCCAATTCCTGGATATTAACTAATAATGGACCCACATATTTCCGAATACCTCGTTGATTAGTGATGTCTTGTCGAATTTCCAATTCCACAGTATTTCTATAAGAAATAAATTGTAAATTCCTATACCGCAGTAAGTAGAGAAAGAAATAATTGAACATTAACCTCTTTCTGTTGAACACAAAACTAAGACTGAATTTTGCATGGCCACCGGTTCTAACCCACTGATCAATAAAAACTGCCATGTCCTTTCCAGTTACTGTAAAAATGGCTTTTGTGAAAACGTTTGTACTAATCAGCATGTGTGACCAGAGGCCAGAATCAATCTTTTGTTGAGCAGCATTAGCTGCTAGTGATAATTGCTTGTTAAAAACCTACGAAAGATTAAAGTAATTTTACATATAGTTCAAAGTGTCATAATGATTTCGATGAGGACTTACTTGAAGAAGAAGTTCCTGTCCGATTCTATGCTCTAACATTCTGATAACTAGATGGGCTTTCTTGCGAAGGACCTCTATGTACCTGGGAGACATTGTATGTAAATTTCTGATAGGGAAATAAAAACCACGGTCCGGAATTCTTGGCGCTGGTGCTGGTGTGTTTGCAGCTATGGGCAATGGAGCTGGTGGCTGGGATGGATCTAATATTATACCACCAAACTGTTCCTCGTACTTTACTACTTCTTGCAATTCCTGATTAGAAGTAGGTATTCATGATATTATAAATCAATTATAAAATTAATTTAATATGAAAAAAATAAGTGTTTTGTCATACCGACTGTATCCATTCCCGATATTCGTTGTTGCCAAAACATTTTTTAGCGTACAGTCCAGTCAAGTATGTTGAAATCCCCTTCGGCAACCACGTATCAGACCAGTTCTGCATAGAAATGAAGCAGCCAAAGAATTGCTCCGCTATAGCTTGAGCCATAGCTTTTTTAGTTATGTATACTTGGTCGATTATTGCGGTGGAGTGTAATAAATTTGTACTATAAAAAATTGGACAACATAAATTATAAAAATTATAAAAGAGGCATATGAAAATATAAAGATCAAACCTACTTTAAAATACTCATTGTCGCATAAGCATTGATATCTTCATCAATCTCATCTACGAATACTTGCTTATAACAAGAATATGGATATCTATTGGATAACGTTTCCTCATAGAACTCGAAAGCTTCGTGCATGTACTTCGCTGAGACTTTTAATGATGGTAACAATTGCGGTAGACAAAAATGTGTCACCTCATGCATGTAAGGGTCGACGAATATTTCAAAAGGTCTGAGAATAATTCATTGTATTAGGCATTTAAGGCTATGACATTCAGAATATTGTAAGAGATCAAAGAAACATTACCCTACTGCCAGAGCAATGTTTGGAGCACATGCTGGTGTGTTCAGAACGTAGTGGAAAGTTTTTCGTCGCATATCTGGTGTATAGACGACCTCTACCAAGTCTCCGCAAGATACTGCAGTCATAGAATCATCAACAGTAAATTCCAATTTCCAGGTGCAAGGTTCAGCAAAACTGTCCACACATGGGAACCACAGTCTTGATGAATTTTCGTAACTGTAGGTATACATGTGAGCTCCTCTCTATGGTATAACAAGGAGAAGCTGTTAAATAGCAATCTGGAAATATATATGAATAATAAAGTCCTGATGATTAATATACTTCAGCAAATGTTCCCTCGCAGTCAGGTAGCACAAAGTGGACACCACCTTGTGGTTGTTCCAATGAGAATTCTATGCTAACTCTTAGTCCTCTCCCTTCCGAGACTAAGTGAGCAGCATCTGGTGGTATTTGGACAACCAATTCTCCAGCATTATTATCAGGATCGACTTTTTGTGCTGCTGCCAAATGTAGGTTTGAAAAGAATTCAAGGGACCGTCTAAAGATATAAAATGTAGTAATAATTTTGTTAAGAGAAAAGTAAGGCTAAAAGATTTAGAATACATACTGTTTTGAATCTCCTTGGCAAATATCCAAGAAAGGATCAAAGTATTGAAAAGGTGCCTCGTACGTATCATTTAGACATACTCTGTATATTCTACATTGCTTAGCATTAAGCTTTATGAGTCTTAAGCTATCCCTGAGTGGCACAATAGTCAATTCTACGAATCCCTTGTAAAATAAAATTACACTTGTTAGAAAACTTGGTTAGAAAGGTAAGATCATATTAGAGTTATTTTCTACATACAATTATACTTTTTCTTTGAAAGCTGATACCCGTAAGGCTGACAATTTGATGAGCTGTAATGTATCAATGAAACAATTCAATTATACTCATTAAATGTGCTAAAATTAATTAAAATCTACCCTAAAGAACATAACCTTAAAATAAATTTATTGAATTCATAAATTAATCGGGCAATGCAATGCATTTTTATCGCGTTTAATTACACATAAGAAAATACTTATAATTTAAACGGTCGGCTGTTATCAGCCGTTCTCTCCTTCTTCATTTTGCCATAAATATTTTCAAACTTTATAGTTTTGACAGATAGCAACACTTTATAATAGTTTCCATCGTGTTTTCCTCTTACACCATTTTCGTCTGCGTCTGTCTAATAGTTGGGAGTAATTCTTTCCAATCGAAACTATTGCCGCCGTGTTATCAGCAATAGTGTTATAAAATCGAATAAAACATCACAGAAACCTCTAGTTATTTTATAAAATAAGCTACCGGAGAGAATTTTATTCAATAGGAAATTATTTCTTGTTAAATTTATTACTAAATATTTAGAAATAACTATAATTTCAAGTAAATACGAAATTCATTCGCTCTAGTTTCCTATCGAAATTTGTCTGCTGTTTTCTGAAGTGCCAATGCATTTACAGCAATTTACAGCAGTATCTGGTTGATCTGGTTCGATCTGTTGGTACGTGGAAACGGTGGTGTTTCCCATCACACAAAGTTAGAATGAATTAGAATTCCGAGGGGGTTTCTTACGTGAAAATAAAAACTTTACTTTTATTGATTTTAATAAAGAATCCAAAGCGTGAAACGTGAAAAACGTAAAAAAATAATTTCACAAATGGAAGAGAAAAACTCGGATTCAACGTAAGTTCCTTTACTTAAACATTACATTTTGAAATTCAAAGATTCGCCATTCTGCTAACGAATTTTGCCGTTAAAAGTTTGGATTAAAAGAATTTTGACTTTTTTTAAAGAGAAGTAAATTATATAAGTATTGAGATTCTTCGATTTTTTCGAATTTTTAAGTTATCGTCCTTGAATGGGTGTTTCTAAAATGAACTTGTAAACGATCGTTAATTTCTTACTCTCTTATTTTAATTCTCAGGATAAAACATTTAATACAACACGTAAAGAGTATTGCATTGAAGGATATGGGAGTTTATGAGTCGCCTGAAACGTTGCCTACTGGCTTATTTTCCAGAAAACATATTCCTGATATTGTGGATTCTAATTTACCTGAAGTGATGGCTAGTCTACAAATGCTGAATGTTACTTCCAATGTATCTTCACCATCAAGCAATAAGCGTGTACTTAGGAGAAGACTACCAAGACCTGTTGCTGCCGAGATACTTAATAGAAGGTATAAGGAGAAATGGATTTTGTTTATTGATTGTTTACTATTTTTATCATCATTTATTAGATGCAGCTTAAAGCCAAAGAAAAGGAGAAGCTCTGAAATAGAAAGTGAGGATGATATTCGTGAATATTACTTAGATAAAAGCATCAAGAAAAAGCCCAATTGTCTTGAAACAATTTTTGAGGAGAATGAGGACACAAATGAGAATACTCATTTCATGAGTGCCAAGAGGTTCAAAAGAATGATACAGTTCCAGCAAGAACCAACCGACTCCAAGTTGAAAAAGCGTCGTGCAAAAGTAAAGAAAGTTTTTGGTTCAAAGGCTGCTTATAAGCATAAATATAGACGTCACACGATGCAAACCTTACTTGACAAACTGAATGGCATTCGTTCCGAATCTCCTGTTAATGTCAACACTGACATAAAGTGAATAATCATATAACAAAAACTTGTACAAATATGTATATAATACGCGAAGAGGTTATCCTAGAAAAAGATTATGTCTGGTATCAGGACATATAATTTTTCTTCATCCTCTTATTTTCTTGCATGTAACGTTTCTAACTGGTATCGAAGTTATAGGATAAGTGATACTGCAACTGAGAAAAGCAAGGATAAACAGATCTCTGATACAACATTATGATATACTTGTAATAGCATTTGAATTATTAACACAAGATTTAATCAAGTGAATTTGAGACTGAGGATAGGCGGTAGCTGGATTTCGTCGCTGGATAATTATTGACATGCTGGAATGATAACATGTCACTGATATTATCTTTTTATTGGTCAAATTAAATTTATCCACAGCATTCTCTAAATGAAATACAACTAATATTTTTCTAATACTTAAATACAAAGAACGACAGTTTTCCTCTATGATTGTAACAATTTCCGTGCATCAAAGAGTTCAATAACTGATAAGTTTTACACGTAGAATTTTTTTTTAAATCACGTTTCATAGGTAATCTCACCTTTCTTCAATTACATAATAATTATTTGCGTTTCATAAGCGCAAATTGTAAAGCTTAGTTTTATATATTCTTATAAAGTACCTATCTTCTATTATAAAAAATAAATCTTTTGTATAAGAATGGTCCCTCTTGTACTTAAAACAATCATGAAGTATTACTCTTGAAATATCATGATAACCTCTGTCTCACTGATAACTATCAGTCTTGGACTTATTCCTATCAGATAAAGGTGAACCATGTGATTAATGTAGTCCCATATTTCAGAGATTCAATGTTGTGCATGGTATCTATTGTCACACTTAAGGCATACTATCTCATACTGTGTCTTCTGTTTGCTTTATAGTGCAATGTGTAGAACCCTTAGCACATCCTGCATACTCTCTGAGACTACCTTTGTTTTCATTGTATAGTTTACTCTGTATGTTTACACAGGCACATCTGTAATTGGATGATCCAGGATTCTCATAAAACATTCGTGGTACTCCAACCCAATTTCTCTCTATTCCACCACTGTTAATAAATAGATAGTCATTAGAAACAACTAACTGATTGGTAGGATCAAACTTATAATTAAAGAAGTAGACCTTTTTTTAGTGCACCACACTCTAGTGCCAACATCTATTTTCCATTCAATGTTGCATGGTGGAAACATACGTTTTTTTTCTTCCTCTTTGGATTTTTCCTGTTCGCCAATCTTTAGTTTTTCATGATATTTATAAAATTCACTTGTGGGATTGCCATCTTCATCGTAATATCTACCTATTAGCTTTCCTGTAATACAGACAGTATCTTGGAGTACTTGTGATTCCTTGAATATAAGTTTGCTGTCCTGATTCTATGAGAATTACCTTTGTAAACATAATTATCTTTATAAAACTGAATCCATCCATATAAATCTTTAGTCTGCTGTGCAGATAAACTAGATATGTCATCAATCAAACCCTCTTCAGTAAAATCACCAGTAACAAAAGCCAATGAAGCATCACGTCCTAAAAAAAAAACAAGAAAAATAAAAAGTTCCCATACAATTAAAATTTCAAAGAAATTCACCATTACCAACGAACGCATTATAAGCTGCTCCTTTGCCGTAATGTTTTTCTCCTTTTGTAACATCATAAATCTGACCCAAAACCGATAAATATAAGCCGTCATTCAAATTATTATATCTTTTTAAATCGTCCGTGGTGAATAGCGATTCGCTGCTGTCAAATTCCGTTTTACGAATCGCTTCGCCATTGAACTCCATGAAAAATGTCTGTGCAGCGTCGACGTTCTCCTTCAAAAATTTTATCAAAATTTGTCGATGATGATCGCTCGAATAAAACATATAGATGACAGCAAACAACAATGAAATCCAAAGGTATTGCGAAAGCATTATGGGAACAGCTGGGCTTCCTTAAATGGAAAAAATAACTATGAAAATCGGTAATAGCAGTTAGGCTTGTTTGAAAGCTGTCATATACCACTGCATACTAGTACCAGGTAAAATTACCACACTACAACTTCTATCTGGACACCTGCTTACAAAGCAGGTTAGACCTCGTGGAATGGCAACGAAGTAAAAGTAATGCGTCTCTTAACTAAGAACATCATGAGACACGTAGCCAAGCGTCTTGAGGAGAGAGGTATACATTTGAAAATTTCTTCTGGGCGTTACTGACTTCTAAGTTCAGTGACCTTGACTTCCCATGGAACGAACAGAAATTATACTACAATGTTCTAGGAATACCATGGTACCTATTCCTTATAAAATCATCCTCTCTTATACATTTTTCCATTCCTAACCTACATAAAATTTCTTTACAGCTATATGTCCAGCTATATCTCCATTCCGTTCCTTCCTCGCACATCTTGAGGATGAGGATCGGGCGCATTGTCGCGCGTCATTTAAATGGTGTCACGTTGGAGAACATTGGAGAACGTTCTATGCATAGACCTGGTTTTCTTATCCTTCTGGCGATTTTCATGCAACTACGATCAAAAGCTGGTTTATGCATACAGTAAAATCAATGCACTTATCAATAACTAATGATAAGTCGCACTAAATGCACTGTTCTGGATAAAGATACATTATTCCATAATGTCTTGATAAAAAAAAAAGCCCTGGTAATGATTTCCATTCAGGATACCAAACGAACTTGTGTTATACCATTCGGTAAGCAGGACTTATATATTTCCTGGTTGCTTTTCTGGTCAGGGCATAGACTCGTGCGTGATTTCATTTATAACTAGACACGCTGTTTTTGCAGTCCAATACGAATGCGATCCCTGGCAAGATACCAGTGCTTCCTCCGGGATCTTCACTACTGTTCACTACGTAGTAGAATCGTGCGGCACCACCTCGTAGGATCAATTTAGAATCGGGTTAAAGACAAATTTGCGAATCATCCTGCTCAAGAAATACGTACTTGCTATACGTCGGTATTGGCAAGTGTTTAAAGGGTAGAAGGTGGATAGGTATATCGTCAGAGGGTGGAAGACGTAGATACAGATGGAGATAAATGCACATAGGGCGGAAGTGAGAGAGAGCTCATGAAAACGAGAGAAGAATAGTCCAAAAGGAGAGAAAGAGAGAGAAAAAGAAAAGTTGACTCGTTGCAAATGGCAGGCGTGTGACATCGTCCACTTGTTTTCGTGACATAACAAAGGGAAAAAGGAGCTTTTTGAAGATCTTGTTTGGCCTCAAGTGTTCGGGAAGGTATTGTGCCAGTGTACGAGATTGTGAAAAGATATCACAGGAGAGATACAATGGCTAAATTAGTGGATATATGGCGCGGTGAAAACCCGGCCAGTTTGACGCGAAGGCAAATGCCGTTGATCATCGATGAAAATTTAACGGTGAGTTTGAACACCCTAAGACTATTACCATTTGACGATGACATCGGAAGCTTCAATAATTACAACTTGACGCCAATTACGTAACTGCCCTGTGAACGATTTACCGACTTAACCTAAACGATTGCCCTGGTTGTTCATGTTTGCCCCAAACCAATCTAGACGTTCGAGCTTTCTAGCTACTTAGCCAGATTTTCATAGATTTTCGTATTTATAAATAAAACCGAATACTGTGTGTTGTTTATTTCTTACATGGATCCTGGTACTTCAATGCTGAAGTATATCAGACCTACATTGTGGATTTTAGGTTCATGTTAATTTAGAATGGTTGACAGAACACAGGGTAGTTTTATCACTTATGGTAATGCATATCAGAGTCAAATCTTGTGAAGATATAAACTTCCATTTGCTTTTTCTCCAGTTATTTGTAAAAATATACTTCTCGATTAAGATGTAACTAAATTATCTAGTGTATTCTTTGTTGCACCATGGAAGATGTTATTTAGAATTTATAAAGATAAAACTATATTTGGTCACATGAGAAATATGATTTTCAAGATGTCAAGCTGTCACTTTATACTTGAATTGCTTATAGGAATTTAGACTACTTATTTGTATAGGATGCCGTTGTAGACTGATTTAATGCTATCCCTTAAATGTACTGAGCCAGAGGGTACTATAATATATGGTGTATCGTAATTACAGAATATCAATGCTGTTGACTATGTTTCAAGGTTTGACTCATATATTAGATTAGAAAGGTTGTTGCTTCGATTGGTTGTGCAGTTTATGGCATGCTATACACTTACATACACTAATGCTTTTCTTGAACATGGTTTTTCCAATCAAGTTGACAGCCTATGATAATAAATTGAAGATTAAGTTAAAAGAGACACATTTATGTCATGGTTGCAAAATACATACTAAAGGAGAGTCTAGTCTTTCACATTGAAATGCTAATCAAACATAGCAAAATGAGTACTGAATCTAGAATCACCTTAATGTCTGTATTCATCCTATTTAAATACAGATGATTATGGACGTGAACGGCTTAGGAGCTGTTTGCGACAGCCCTCTTGTTCGGGGAAAGCAGTTAGATGAATTTACCAGGAAGTTAAACATGCTCACTAAAGACGAAGTCAAGGCATCCTTCGAAGTTACTTGCAAGGATATGCTTTCGATTCTTGGTCAGGCCGTGCCATGTGTTGGATGTAGAAGGAGGTATGACAAAGCAATAATTATTACAGACCTCATATAATTATTCCTATATAAACGCTACCATAAATACTTTACATGTTCAGCGTGGAAAGACTATTCTACGACCTCATGAAATCTGGTCATCCTGCACTGGATCCATTAGTCATTACACCAGAGGGTTTACTCACTATTAAAAATGAAGTTCTGGAATCACCCCAGTTACTTTGTACCATGCTACAGGGTCACAGGTAAATAGTCTTAGAAATTGAATGGAGAATTTATCAATCAAGAATTCTAGATTTATATTAGCTTAATTAATCAATCATGTATCAATTTGTTGCAGCGCTCGATTAAATAGTCTGGTGGATCGACAGCCAAGGAGTAAAAAGTCTCGTAGATGTGCATTGCATTCCTTGGAGGTTCAACGTATGAGACCTCCTCCAGGTGCATGGAGGGAGGTATGGGACTGTATGAAACCACCTTGTCGTCAAGAATTAACGTTAGTTGAAACGGATACCTTGGACGCCACCTTAGACACTTACCTTCGCAAGCACAGGTAACTCTTAGACATTCTTCTGATCTGTCAGAAACAAATTTTTCTTATTTGACGAATTTCTCATTCTCTATTTCCTTATAGATTTTGTGGAGAATGCCGTACCAAAGTGCTGCTAGCTTCATCACTTCTAACAACAGAACCAGATCCTAGAACAGAAAAAGGATACGTAGCTTCTTTGTATAATGGAATAAAACGATGCATACCTGAACGACACGTACACTTACCAACTAATACTGAGTATATCAGTACGATAATTGGGCGAGCTCAGCCGGAACTAATGGGCAGGTATAAATTCAAATTTTGTATAAAATTATACATCGTTTCAATCATTAAGAGAATGTGAATATAAAAATAATTTCTCACTAGGGAACGCCATGCCAAAACTTTAGAAATAGCTCAGGAGGAAGTTCTTATATGTTTGGGAATCTGCGTGGCGGAACGTCTGCATCGTGTTCATCGGCGCCTCAGAGAAGAAGAAACTGTATGCGAAGTATTGGCAGCAGTTGCTGTGGATGCTCTTTCACGAAATTTCCAGGTAAACTATAAAATTAAAGAATCCATCTATAATACAAATAATTATTAAGATCAATATACTAATTCTTATCCTCTGCACAGATGGCTGTCGAGGTAAAGCAAGGAATCACTCAATTAGAATTACTTTACGAGGAACTGACCAGAGAGGAGATAGCCAAACAACAAAGACGTGAGAAGTTGCGTCTGAAACGTAAGAAGAAGAAAGAACGTCGTTATGAGACTGAAGAAAAGGAGAATACCTGCGAGGTAATTGTTTGCTTACAGTCAATACAAAACAGTGCATCCTCTATAATATTTACAATGAAAATATAAACGGCATTAATACGACAGTGTTCTGACGAGAGAAATGGTGATGGTGGAAATAGCGAAGTGTCTTGTGTTTGCATGGAGTCAAAGCCAACAACGCAGAACATCGACCGACATAAGGTAACAATCATATTTCTTATTCGTCATCAACCTCACTATAATACCTGTTTAACAGAATAACAGTAGTATAGTCACTAGAGACTCATTATCATTGACGTAGTATAAAGAACGAACAAATTTAAATCGTATTCCTTACAGTTGCAAGTATTAGATCCAAAAAATAAAGGACCACCAACGTGTAAGTGTCCAGATTGTATGAAAAAGTCGAAGGGGTCAAGTAAAGCCCAAGTGCAGACGTCAACGACATTCCTAAATTCGAAAAAGTCCTCTATGGTCACTCAAAAAAGTCCGGCCAAGAAAAATAACACTGTATCAAAACCAAAAAGCACGACAAACTGTCAGCCGGATAAGGAAGAGAGTAATGTTTATAGTAAAATGGTTCGTTCTGAAGTTGTAGAGCCGTGCGAAAGGTGTAAGGTAAGGATGACTTGATTCTATTGTAATGTATAATGTTCACTTGGTTTTCATTGTGATGGTTATTCTTGGAACCTTAGGAATTCCTTGAGAAAGGAAAGGACGGTAATTGGCGTGTTCGTGAAATTTGCAAGGATCCAACCGATGAGGAGATTGCGGATGCTTGGATGGGTAGACCTAGTAAAAGATTCACCATGTGGATGGAAATGAAAAAACGATATGAAATGTCAACGTGCTATGGAATAAATAGTCGTTCGTCTAGTGAACAGTCATCCCAGGACTGTGGTTACTCTTCGGAGCACAATATTAGTAGCTCCTCGCTTCCAAGTACACCGGAAGGTTCAGAAGTGGCTTGTAGCGAAGGATGCTGTAATCACGAGGGTGACTGTCATGATGCAAGATCAACGGATAAGCTTGTCCATTCCAACTCTAGTATCTCGTTGTTAAGGGAACGTGGTGGAGGCCTTACTCTTATGCAAATGTTAGAAGTGAGTATCAGGAGCTTTTTAATCCATAGCTCATGAGACTAAACTGTCAATTCTCTTATATTCATTAGCAGGACTCGTATTCCTCGGAAGACGAAGGGAAGGAAAGTTATATCCCAGCTGAGGAGGTTCTTGAATTCAAGTCCCAAATGCGTCAAGTCCTGGAGAAGAGACAGGAACTTCGGCAGACCCTAAGAAACCGCTTTGCGATGCTTTGCAGCCATCATAAGCCCTTCACCATTCCTCACTAAGAATTCCTATTAGGTACAGTTACTTATTAGGATACATTTTCTTTTTTTTTTTACGTTCATTTACTGCCAGTAGAGACACGAATGAATACGACAGATGTATTTTGGATAATTATTGTCGTAACAGACTAAATTGTGTTCTACTAAATCTGTTGGGACTGTTGGCTCACTGAAATATGATTTATTTATGGATGAGAAAAACTGATACAATAAATCGGTAATGCATTCAAAAAACAAAACAAAAATTCCAAGGTGGAAAGAGCACATAAAACACCTTTTGAATTCTGTTATTTTCGACGGTGCGAATTGCGTTCAAGAAAATAAAAGACGAATAACCGTCATTTTTCGAAAGCCCATATTTTACTAATAATTAGTTCTCGTTAGTGCGCTCGAAGATTATTCGAGATTTTTTTGGGACAAACGCCGGCGGTGAGCTTGCCTGAATGATTTTATATGTGGGTCATCAGGATTATATTTTTGGAGTATTTTATTTTCTTGAAATCTGATGTCGATGCTCTGCCGACGGTTGCTCCGATTGCAAGATGGTGATAAGATGGCTGCATATTATCGCTATTGTAACGATAGTAAAAAATTGAATGATTATTGAAGATTTAATATAAAATAAATGTTGCATTCCAATCTACAATTTATTACTTTTGTCCTTATACCTTAAGCAACTCGTATATAGGACTTGTAAAAAATATATATAGATTCTAAATGATAGATTACAATATAACATGTTTTATACATATATTTTTTATACATACAAACCTCTACGTATGATATTGCTTATAAATGCTTGGACTAGTATCGAGGCTGTTTTCCAGATTGTATCCAGATTATTTTTAGGCATAGTTGGTTGTTCTTTAAATTGTCACTCAAATGCATCATTATTCTGTAGTAGTTAGCTAATATATTGAGCAATGCACAGTGATGCATTTGTGCCACCAAAGCCAAATGCATTCTTCAGAGCCACACGTCTTGGGGTGGTATGCCATTCTTGCTTGACGTGAGGAGCAAAATTAAGATCTGTAGTTGAATCTAGCTCGTTTAGATTAATCGTGGGTGGTATTATACCCTCTTTTATTGCCATGACAGTAAATGCGGATTCCAGGTTACCTGCTGCGCCTAATAAATGACCGTGCGCAGCTTTAGTGCTGGAGACCGTTACGTTCTTACTGTGCTCGCCAAAGAAGGACTGGATAGCTTTTAATTCTATGGCATCTCCCAGGGGAGTGGAAGTCGCATGTGCGTTAACGTACGTAATTTCACCCGGGTCAATCCCAGCATCCTTAAGTGCTCTGTCCATAGCTAACAGTGCTCCAGTACCGTCTTCACTCGGTGCTGTCAGATGAGTAGCATCACCAGAAAGTCCGTATCCTAGTACCTCAGCATATATTGGAGCTTTGCGCTCCAGGGCGTGAGTTAATTCCTCCAGGACTAATACGGCAGATCCTTCACCCATTACAAAGCCGTCACGGTCTTTATCGAAGGGTCGAGATGCCTCTTGGGGAAAGTCGTTTCTTGAAGTACTCAGGGCGCGAAGACGACAGAAGGCTGCTATGGCTAGTGGACTTATACAAGCTTCTGCTCCACCGCATATCATCACATTAGTTTCTCCACCACGTACGAATCGGAATGCATCTCCTGTCAAGATTCTTCTATGTTAATTTTATTTTTAGGAAGGCGTTAGTTTGGAATGTAATAAAATTACCTATTGAATGCACTCCTGTTGCACAGGCAGTAGATACTGAGTGATTAGGACCACGGAAACCATATTTGATGCTTATTTGTCCTGCTGCCATGTTTGGGAGTATTCTTGGTATGAAGAATGGACTGACTTTACTATATCCTCTTTGCAGGGCTTCGTTGGTATTGCAAACGTCTACCAAGTCTATCATTCCTATCCCAACTGCTACCCCTGTGTCCCGTTTGTCATCCTCATTCTCTGGTTTCCAATTCGCGTCAGATAGTGCTTCTTCTGAGGCTACTAGTGCATAAGCTGTTGCGGGACACATTGAGCGAATTTCACTCTTTGAAAATTTTGCTTCGATATTCAATTGATATGGTTTATCTCCCTTGGGTACTACGGCACCTTTGATATACAAAGATTAATACATTTATTATGTATATAAAATGCTCTTTATTACGGTAAATAGGAAGTACAAAGCCTACCAATTTTACATGGCAGTTTCTCATAGCCTGGTTCATCCAATTTGATGACACCAGACTTGCCTTCGATGAGAGCTTCCCAGGCATATCGAAGACCAACTCCTAGAGGACACACGACTCCAATACCTGTAACTACTACTCGACGTCTGGGTCTGACTGTATTTGTAAATGAACGACCAAGGAGATAACATTGACTCCACATTTGTACGTATTTTTATCAGAGATGCACCATTTGTAGGTTATATCACGCCGAAAAGATTACCGGCTTACTGAGCGAGAATGAGATTAGAATGATCATTAATAGATAAGAAAATTCAAGTAAACTTTTTACTAGACCGAATGTAGTACACGAAAAGTGTCGTAATATTTCGTATAGACTTAATTACTCCAAATTAGTCTATTATATATAAATTATGATCTCCATATCACCACATGTCATGGTTGAAGTTGTGGATACTAAATAATTGTGTTCCTGTATATAACATATACCAATATTTATTAAGCGATTGAATCGCATACTTGGATACTCTTGATTAACACACATGTACAATTAAATTATTTGGTCACTTGTTAAACATTTGTGCAAGTTTCTTCTTTTCAACTTGTTCTTTTTCTTTTATGGCCACAGCAAAGGAATGCAATTCCTTTTCAACAACAGTATTTAACGAAGGATCCAACTCTGCAGCTCGTTTCAGATCCCTTGTAGCTTCTACTTCATTCCACACTGCAATATGTGCTTTACCTCTTCGATATAAGGCCTTTACATTACCTATTGAAAGCATGTAAATAATTCTGTGAAAATATATTTTCATTGTATTTTAATAATACCTGGATCACTCTTAAGTACTGTCGTACAGTGCTCAATCACGTCGTAATATTCTTTATTCAACAATTTGCACTGTGCATAATTAAGAAGTATAGGAATTTTCATTTCATTTAGTGCTAACCAATCTTCATCATTTGGTTTTTCCCTGAAGTAAGATTCAATGAGTAATGTTACAGTAAATATATTCTTAGAATAAACTTACATAAGCATTAATTGTTCTAACATTCCAATTGCTGTTGCATATGAATCAGATGCAGCCTGGTAGTCCTTTTTCTTAAATAAAGAATTTCCCTTCTCTCTTAATTTTGGAATACTTTTCAATTTCTCCTCCTCTGTCATTTGCCATGTTTCTTTCTCGTACTCATTAGGTGACACTACTTCAAGTAGTTCTGAAAAGGTATATTATTGATAACTAAAAATTATGTATCAAGTATTATAAGCTGTCTTTACCTATAGTAAATTCTAAATCCTGTGGATTCGTAATGAGATCATTTAAGTCATCATATCCAATGCCCTCATTTTGAAGAGTCACACCACAACAATGATGATTTCTCTTTTCAGAAGCTGGTTTACCGACTTCTCTTAGTGTCTTTGACACAAAGGGATATGCCGTGACTAGCTACACCAGTGACAATTATGACAATGCAACTTCAACTCATTATTAAAATTAATTACTGTCTTTATTTATAGCATTCATAAGCTTACATGTAACATTGCAAAGTACTTACACTTTTATTAACTCTAAAACGTGCAACTTCATTTAATGCCATTTTCTGAACAATTACTTCCCATATCTCTAGCTTAAATTTTTTCCCCAGAACCAGCTCCATGGGTTTCCCCATCGTTCTACTGTCATCTATCAATGTTTTGTCTGGGTCGCATTTTGTTGTTCTAAAGTGAAAAACAACCTAAAATAATGACTATATGTTATTATCAAATACAATAATCACATTAATGTCTATTGTAGTTAAAAGTAAGCATAATAATAAATAATAAAATTTAACAATAGATTAAATAAATTAGTGTTCCTACTTTTGTGCCAGGTACAAAAGAAACCGCCTTTGTTCCTGTATGAACAACAGATTTTACAACAGACTCCTTAGGTTCCATCGCAATTATCTAAAATCCTTTAGCATTAAAATTAAAGTAAACAGAATAATCCAAGAATTACGATAACAGTTCAAACACGCGTAGCTTGGTTTCATCAGCTGATCACTTTCTGCAACCTATCAAATATTATCTTAAACGGAACTTGTCCAGTTGGATCTGTAGATACCATTGAATTTTCTAATGCTCTTTCTTGCTATGAAATTATATTTCAAGTAGAGTGATAAATATAATTATTGCTCATAGCCCAGTGCAGATTACGTATAACCTTTGAAGGACATCATTCGATGGGATACACAGTTTACATCAATTTGCACAATTAATGCAATACTGAATCTAGATGATATAATTTACTTATAGTACGTATAATACTCATTACTCCACATTGATAAATTTAATTGATTTTACATTTATACGTATTCATCGAATCATTTACTACACTATTTCCTGTCTGCAGGTGACCCCTGATTCCGGAATTGAAAGACAGTGACTAGACACATTTACGCGTGCCTAAAATTGAGTATTTCGAGTATTTCAAACATATTTCAAAACCAGATAACAATTATTAACTTTGACATAACTCATATCAATCGATTTTACTTGCACTTAACTCCATAACTGTAAAAGTACTGTTCACAAGGCAAATGAGTGCACCGGCGTCAGAATCAAATGGCATTATGGGCCATAAGAACGATGGTAACAATATATTATATCTAATCCAAATTTTGTGTAAGACTTTTTACTGTATGGCTATATTTTAAAGATGTACTTTCAGGTTTCAAAGAAGAACAGATACCAGTACCATGGGGTCACATTAGTGGTCAGTAAAAAATATTTGCATTAAGTTTTAGATAGTCATAGATTCAATATAATTTGTGTAGTATACTTTTAATTTATTGTGCCATAATTAACGGCAAATTACAATGACAACTGTAGGCAAATGGTGGGGTCCAACTGATGTACAGCCTATAGTGGCATTGCATGGATGGCAAGATAACGCAGGAACTTTTGATTGTCTGGCTCCGTTAATATCAGAAGAAGCAATTTTGTGCATTGACTTGCCTGGTCATGGCTATTCTTCACATCATCCTGAGGGACAGTTCTATTATGTTTTTTGGGATGGTGTTATCGTCCTGCGTAGACTTGTTAAGCATTACAAGTGGGACAAGGTTAGACAGCGAGTTTCAGTTATACAACGATTTACCTACTTCTGTTTTAGTTATCCAGCATTTTTCTTATATATATAGAATATTTACTATTTTAATATTTTATTCCTACAATTCTCCTACCCTCTGCTTTGACAGTTTTCTTTTTATATTAATTTTTTACTTATGTGGGGTTGATTGCTTTGCAGAAAAAGGTTGACTGTTACAGAAATCGTTCATATCTTTAGATTTGCGTGTATAATAAAAATTTTAGGCAAATCATTCTTCTATTATGCAGCACTATTTCAGTCTGACATGAAACACTGTATAATGTAACAGTTTTTATGTTATAAAATCATTTTGCAAGATCGTTGTATAACTAATGTTACCTTGTGGTGTTGAATAACTCAGCTGTGACTTTGTTTCAATCAATTAAGAGCCTAGTAAAATTAATTCTTTTGTAACGTTCTTTGAATTACCTGCAGGCAAATGGTGGGGTCCGAAAGGGATTCAACCTATAATCGCATTACATGGCCGAGAAGATAATGCAAGCACTTTTGATAAATTGATGCCATTGATACCTGATGATATTTCAATACTTTGTCTCGACTTACCTGGACATGGCTTTTCCTCTCACTGTTCTGAGGGCCATTACTATTTTGTCCACTGGGAAGGCTTAATGCTTCTCCGTAGAATCATTAAATATTTCAAATGGAACAAGGTTAGAGAGTAGTTAACATTTTCTGTGACATTGAAATTCAGAGTTTTGAAGATTCCCTAACTTTATATATAACATTTAATCAAATTCTAACTGTGAAGCATAAATGAAAGGATTTAAATAATTGTAGGTAGGGTATTGTTGTTCTTAAGTAACAGTCATCCTTTCCAATGATAGCAAAAATAATTCCTTTGTTTCTTTGCCACATCACTAACTATAAATATTATATTGCAATCATTTTATCACAAGTTCTGCTCATATAGGTAAAACTTATGGGTCATTCCCTTGGCGGAGCAATTTCATTCCTCTATGCAGCTGCATATCCAGATGAAGTTGAGTTTCTGATCTGCCTCGACATAGCCAGTCCTAATGTGAGAAACATAACGCACATTGCAAATATAACTGGAGATCATATCGATAGATATCTTAAATATGAATGCCTTACACCGGAAAGTATCCCTTGCTACGAGTATGATGAAATGATTAATATAGTCCTGGAGGCCTATAAGGGAGATATCACTAGAGAAAGTGCAGAAATTCTCATGAGGCGTGGTATGCAACCAGCGTCTAAGCCAGGGTTCTACCATTTCTCCAGGGATCCACGACTAAAGGTAATTTCTAATATTAATATCTCTAACAACGGTATCTTTAATGTATAATTCATCTTCTAGGTTTCCATGCTGGGTATGCTGTCCATGGACCTGGTGATGGCGTTTGCAGCGCGCATCAAATGTAATTACCTGAATATCCGTGCTGTTCCTGGATATCCGTTGGAGCAGCCTGAGAATTATGATAAGGTCATGAACCAGATAAAACTGGGAGCTAAAAAATTCGTCTACAAGCACGTGGAGGGCTCTCACCACGTCCATCTAAATAATCCAGAGAGGATCGCACCAATAATTCAAGAGTTCCTCAGCACTTTATAACAGTACAGTTATAGTTAGAAATTATATTACGATTCTATCGCGTAAAATAATAGGTGACATGATACTACTTAATTAATTAATGATTGGGTTTCTATAGACTTCCATGCAACATTGGCTGTAGATCAGCGTAGAGGTGCATTGATTATCTAGTTAATTAAATTATTTATTTCCAATTTATGCCTGAACAGCACCACCTACCTATTCGAATTCTAAAGAATTCCATAAAATTAGAACATAAGCGAAGAGGAATCTGAACTACTTTATATTCCAAGTCCCGTGGTCCAAAAATGAATGCCTGTTTGTTCGTTTCATATTAGTTTGATTTTGAGATTGAAATCAAAAAGCTAGAGGCTTTACTCTTTCCTTTTATTTTAGGCATATTTATTATAATAAAATGATTTAAAACATGTACAGCAGTATATACCATGCATACAGTAAAATAATTTTTATGAGTATTCTCCTGCCATACGTACGCTTCTAACAAATAAAATATAATTCATAAATAATTGGCCATTTATTCATACATATCCCAGTGTCCAGTTTTTTATACTTAGAACTCATACCGGTTTATGCTTATGCAACCAAGTGAATGATAACCGTCCTCGAATACTTTGATATCACTTATCAGTTTACCTAGTTGTTTCCATGCGAATAGCCCGATACAATTGTCCATTAAAAATTATTTAACTTCCCTACCATGGCATGCCCTTCCTCCAGCGAAAAATATCTAAACTGTAAAATCTAAATTTGAAGGATAAACTGATATTAGGATTCTATAAGGAACGTTAAACCAACCAATTAAGAAATTTCGCCATTTATAATAATTACGAAAGCTATATGCATCTAGAATAAGTCCCGTTAACGAGAAATATCAAAATTATTGATACAGTTGTTTTTGTAATATGACAATTCAGGGACTAACGAGTCATATATTTACCCAGCTGAATCCAGCTGTGCCACGTAGAAATATTAAATGATTCAATCAAGCGCGGAGAAACGGTCCGGTCGTACCTGGAGAAACTAAAGATCCTCAGTCCTACGTTAATTTCTTACCTCTACGAAAGTGATACGTGTCAGTACTTAATATTGATACAAATACAATATACTTTGTATAAATAGAATTTGATATTTTTTTGACAAAACAAAACTTGCCGCTCTATTCATTAATTGATTGATCTTTATCATATGTAATACTAGATTCTTTGATTGAACATTACAATTCTTCGGCTGTTTACTTCTCCTTCTCTTCTATTGTACTTCAAGTAAAACGGGAATGTCACGTTCTTCAAAGCTATTGGTTTTGGCACACGTTATCATTGTTACTGCTTCTGAAACGTGGTCTTCGTATCGAAGTGAGCGAGCCTTCGTGAAACGGGTATGCAGGCAATAATTACTAGAACGATAGCGTAAGTTACACATGGAAAATGAATATGAATATCATTTGGACAGGTGGAAGCGGTTTGCGCTTGTCTGCACATCCTTCTACAGTGTTTTTGAAGAAGCGTCAATTTCTTAACGTGCTGACTATCCTGTGGTAACCATTGCAACTCTTTGATACAGTCATGTACTAATATTAATGGGTAAGTAGTATAACGACACGTTAATCTCATGGAGATTGCAATCTGATCCATCGATCCAAACGATCAACAAACTTGTCGTTTGTAAGTTTGTTCGTTCGGCTCGAGTTATCATGTTGCCGCGTCAGCTTCGGTACTTGGAAAAATTTTACTACACAGCTGGTATATCTTCGCAAGGTGAAAGTACATTTAAGAAGTTTATACTTGATTTTTTAATCTCATCCGTTTCCGGTATGTTCTTGCCGTATCCACAAGCTCTTGATCTGTAGGGGTGAAGGAAGCTATGGTCCTTAATCTGGCTTTTACAGACTCCAAGTCCTGTAAGTATATGATACTCTTAAATAAATATTAGTGTGAGTATTATTAAAGCTTAGAATAATTTTTAAGAAAACCTGCAAGAGTTGACGATTCCTTTTATGAGCTTCTTCTGGAGTTAACTTGAAATTTGTTGAGTCGCTTTTATCGCGCGATACCTTCTCGCTGATTATTCTCTGCGTTTCATAGCGTGAACTTCTACTGTTGTTCATAATATATTAATATTTTAATTATATTTTCAGTTATTAGAATTAATGATTATTACTGCGAAAATACCATTCCAGTAACTTCTCCTCCAACTCTTGTTGTTGCTTTAAGTAATCTTTGAGAATATTTTGTATTTTTGTATCACGCGAATTCATTTTCCAACAGAAAAGTATATTCGGTTTCTTATTACTCTTGTAACAGCACTAAATGTAATTGAATGTGGTTGGCAGTACACCATTTGTTGCGCTTAGTAACAGTATCGATTTTTCCTACGGAAATACTACGTCAAGCAGTGAGACTTTTAGTGCCTAAGTGAGAAGATTAGCATTATAATTACTGTATAAATGAAATACATTTATTTTTTATATTAATATTGTGTATACAGCTCCGCCGAGCGTCAATAATTATCCTGATAATTATTTAATATATTTATATATATATGTATATATCTATGATACAGTTTAGTACGTTTAATATATCATTATGCTCCTCTGAAATCTCGTTCATCGTACATTGTATCTCAGGAATCAAGAGATTGCGATTGTGACTGTAAAAAAAAAACGGAAAAAATTTATGGTATCAATATCAAATATAAATATATTTATTTTACTTTACCATTATGTAGATATGGCTTGGCAACGATCGTTCTAGAACTTCCGCCAGTCGACCTTTGTTCAATTTATGTTCCTCGTCTACATATGCAAAAGATAAAAGAATGCAAGTTATTTGACTTGAACGTGGCAGTTCTAATTGACACGTGGATAATTAGGAAGTAATAATTTCGTACCGGCAGGAACGGCTAAGAGAAGCTTGGGAAGTGATACCAGCCCGGCAACAAGAGGCCTCATGATCCAATCGATTTTACGTTCATCATTTGGCAGAATACAAATATTAATCTGTAAATATATCATTAAAAATATTTTAAGGTGCGGAATAAAGATATGTTATAACGATTGAAGTCTGACCTGTTTTTGTCCAGCAAAGACAAAGGCATCACTCGGTTCCATAGATAATTGGAGTGTTATAAGGTAATCTGAATGATTTCGAAAAAAATATGAAACACATATAGGCATCCTGACCCAACCGTGAGCTGGTAATTTTGCCTCTAATCCTATCACAGCATCTTCTACCCATAGAGGTGACAGAGTTACACTACTACTAGTTTCCAGACCACTGTCATCATTTGTTCTAATAGACAATAAAATAGTTTAGACTTCTTAAATAAATTTTTGCTGATAAAAGTATGCAGTGTACCTTACCGTTTCCATTTTATTGTATATACACCAGTACTTGTTGGTTGTTCGCTACCTACTTTAGGAACAACGCAGAAAGGCTCTGATGCTGCCTCTCCGTTGGAAAGATTAATACCTTCCAAAATGGATTCCTGTGGTTCTTCATCCTCTTTTTGAATAGAGTCACCCTGGTTTTAATGATTATGAGAAGTAAATAATGTTTGATTATATTTACTGTTTGTACAGTTAACAGTTAATAGACTTACCAATTCGATGGAGGTACTTAGAATAGTAATGGGCCATGGTGAAATACACGTTATGTGAGACATCATTATAAATGGATCATTAATAAAACCCTTTGTTAATGGCTGAAATAATACTGTGTAAAATTGTGTTGTGACTTCGAAAGGTTTCATGACTGAGAATGTGTATATCAATTCCTTGCTGCATTTAACTTGCTCCGTTATGGAATAGTCAACCTATTTATATTAAATGGTTACAATAAATTACATAATACTAACGTTGTGCAAATCATTAAATCATTTGACATACCTTTATAACAAGATTTCTATCCCCAACCTTGTGGGCTTTTACGTAAACAATTTGTTGCACAGAATGATCTTTATCGATACTTGTGAATTCCACAGCGACAGGTGTTTGCTTGCTAGTCATGGTTAGACTTAGTTCAGCTACAAAAATATTAAATTAATCAAATTTCTATTAATTTTAATAACGAGCGAACATACTTGACTGATCACTGCTGCCATCCATTTGGAGTATCCCTGTTAGGACAGCATTAGAAATACTTTCATTACTAGACAGAGTAATGGTAATTGGAAACCATTCGCCAAGCAATGCAGGGCTCTGAGATTTAACATTTATATTAACACTAGATTCCTCTGGTCTTATTTCTGCATTGAGCACTGGTCTAATGGACTCAAAGAGTCCTCTCCTGTAAGTACACAGAACAATAATATTAGTACAACAAAGAGCATGATTCAATTTTATCGTACAACAGTATAATATACCGGAATTGTTGTATCTCAGGATACAAACGTTCCAAAAGATTAGTTTCTCCACCAATTCCAGTGAAGCCCAAAATAACACAGCAGCTAGTATCATTTCCCAAGTACAATGATACCCGACGTATCTGAATTTCACTCCCAACGTCCTGCTGACGTGCTTGAAATTGGCACAGGAATGTTTTAGTTTCATTCGACTGAAATATCAGTGGTTTATTGTTCGCATCGGTAACGGCGAACTCTGAACTGTAGCCTGGACTGTTTACAGTTACAGATAATTTTGAAAACTCCATAATTTCACGGTACAAATTTCTAAAAAACATTTAATATATATCTTACAATTTCTTCAGGATTATGAATGCTTATGGATTATGTGCCTTACGAATTGCTGTAAACGCACCGTATAAATACTTCGACTGTTACCGTAGTATTGACAGTATATTTAGGCTGGGAAAATCTCGCTTTGACTTCAATAAACGTTGCCATATTATCATCAATTGTAAAAACAAAAGGATCATTTTGACTGAGCAAGGACATCCATTTTTCAATTGCTGAAACCTTCTCAGCATCAGGTAAATCAGGTTCTGGATTCGGTGGCTTTTTCTGTTCATAATTAATCAATTAAAATTTCACGACATTCTAGTCTTATTTTAACACTATGAACTATGCACTTGCCTGAAGTATATTGATAATATTAGAACGTATAGCTGATTGATGACTTTCTGATAATACATTAGAAGGTCCTAAGGATTCTAATGCTAGAATGATATAATCTTGTATACTCGCAAAGAGAAAAGCCGCACCCAGCGCCTTCTTAAGCACGTCTGTTAACAAAACCGGCCATCGTTCTCCCCGATAATCCCATAACATGTGCATTAATAATCTGAAGAATTTAATTTTAGAATTGTTACGTTGCGAAAAAAAGTCACGCCGAGAATGCTAATCTTTCCAAATTCCACTTTATACTCTATAAGAGAAGAAGAAAGTTTATACTCACGTTAGTACTTTGCCGTAATCACGAGAATTATAATATTCGTCTGCCATTTGGACAACTGCAAGATAGATTTCGAATAATTAATAAAATGTAAATCAGTATAATTTCTAAATAATAATTACCTAAACGTCTTCGCATCCTAGGACACCGATTAATTTTAAATTGAGATATTGCATTTCCCAGCAAGCCTATAATGATCATCTGGAACAAAGTCAATGGGTTTCAAATTCGTCAAATATTATTTAGACGTATTTTTGTTTGAAATTCAATTTGTACCGAATGATTTACTGTTGTTTTCTCTTTGTATTGTAGAGCTTGTATCGCTAATGTCTCGCGTGTTGTATCTACTTGTTCTTGGTTCAGTTTTCCAGGCCGCCACGGTCGTTGACCATAAAATTCTAATTTCTCACTTCCTGCTAAAGGATCCGGATCAGGATAGCTAGTTACATTCTGAAATTATATAATATAGAATACAGTTAATGATGTAAAAAATTCACATGCAATTCCAATTCCATATACCTTGCAAAGCTCTTCACAAGAAGTTTTTCTATCAGTAGCATGCTGGGCCGCCATATGATAATAGTAACCTGGATGTTGAGTTTGAACAGCCGGAAGTCCTTGTCGAATTGCTTGTTCAAACAATTCAGCAAATGTTGAGAACTGACTGGACATCCATGCATGATGTTCGAACATAAGTTCCTTGGGTCCAGTTCGCAGTTTAAATCTGGTAAAGAATATCGTACAAAGTCAATAAAAATAATTGCTGCTCGGATCAAATGGTTGGTGCGGTTCCTAATAATATATTTACCTGTCGGTATGAGCTCTGAATTGTGCTATTGCATCCTTTGGACAACTCATGTTAAACATAAGTCTACATAGTTTATAATTAATGAAACTCGCCACTGTTTTTATTTCTAATATATCCGTTTCTGTATATCGAATATCGAGTATATTGTTGTATGCTTGTTGATAATGTCTAAAATAGAATTTGAATAATGTGATTTTTTTTATTGAATTCTTTCTTAATTATTACGTACTTGTGGGCAGTTTGCTGATCTTGTTTCAGTTCATTAAGAAAACCCATTTTAAATTGATGACGAACAAAAAGATACTGATGACTTGTTTTATTTAATTGATCACGATGGCCCTTAACAATGCGATATTCGTGATGGTAAAAGTTTTGAGCCAAGTCATAGAAGGCATGCTCTAGTCTGCAAAATAATTGATATATAGGTCTGAAATTAGTTATTTGCTATTGTACAGAAAGTATTATGATACCTTGATGTGTACCGGAGCAGATGATCTTCATGAGGTAGAACATACAAAGATTTAGCTGGTAATTCGCAAGCATTGCAAAGTGCAGTTGCGCGTTCTGTTGTTACAACATCTTCCGAACCTGGTTGCACAGGTTTACTATGTTGCACTAGGACCACTGCAATTTTTGTACTACGACCTTCGAGAGCAGCTCTAAAAGGATACTCAAATTACATATAATATTATTTTAGTGGATTTCTTACTTAGTAATTTAATACCGTAGTGATTGCACACGCGAGGAACACTCAATTTTCTTTTCATTCCATTGAGGATCAATCCAATCGAGGTCATAAAATATGACTACAACCGAAGGTACTTCATTGAGATATTTGTTCATCCAATTTCGCTTCAAGATTCCTTTTAGCTTATACCACTCATAAGAATTTCGCTATTTAAAGCAGAGGAAAGAAAAACTTTTATTTGTCAGAGTAAAATTGGATTCAAATTTATAAGGAGCAAATGACTCTGTGGTAAACCTTTGGTTTGACTGTAGGAAATTCATGAGCATTGTTCAAGAGTTTAAATTGCACTGGTGCACCATCAGGACGACGACTGTTTGTAAATGCATCCCAGATAGCACGGTGAATAGCATTGTTTACAGCATCTAATCCTGTTACTCCGATGAGAGCAAGTGGCTTTGCTGTCAATTCTGGTGGTAGTTCAGCCATGACTGTATCCCTAATAAAAAGATTATTTATTTATGACATAAGATAAATAAACCTGCTAACGTAACTGTCAAGTTAAAAAGTATTCGTAAGACGAAGGTATCATCCCAATCATGCTAGTCACACCTCATCAGGAATAAAGCATTATATTAAAGAATAAGCAGTGTTTTAGGAAAACACTCACTTTCTATAAAAATCTAATGAACGTTCAATATATCATCAAAACACTACACTGATTGGGAATAATAATTAAAACATTTTAATGTGTACTTTGACATATTAGGTTATGTCACTGAAGTTGAAGCAGTACTCAATTTCTCATGGATCTGTTAACCATCCAACGATGAATGCTCATTCACTATTGTTTGTGTCATATATCACGTGACTCATATCTATTGGTGCATTCCTTATGCAGTTACAATAGAAAGCACGCTTACCGATTAGCAGATTCCGATAAACCAGGTGTTGTGATTGGTCAGAATTCAACATTTTACCTATTAAAATAAATGTATTCATTCTACATATTTACAGAGCGAGTAGATACTTCTTCATTTGTATATTCATCTATTAACTTAATTGGACACAGGGATTCATACAATATAGATAAACTTGCATATTTTATTAGCATTTTATTAGATAAAATGTACAATCATTTACTTTAAGTATAAGAAAGCTATATTAGACTAATTCGTTTGACTTTACAATTGAATTAAATTCTTAAAAATATATTAAACAAATCCTCCACTGACTCGAGACAGAACGATAGAGATAGTGAAGAAAATAGAGAAAGAAAATTTCCAAAAGAAGATCGTGTTGCGCGTACGTAACAGATAATGGAAGAAGCCCATCACCATAAATAATAAAGCCACGATCATTCGCGAACGCGCGTGCACCTGGCGAACAATTTCGCGGTACGACAATATCATTTGACCCTCGAGAGAAAGAAGTATATAGAAATAGAAAAAACGAAAAGAAATAGACGTTAGTCACTGGAGGAGATGCTGTTCAGAAATACAAGACCAACCAATAGGATAAATGGTTAGAGATGCATTCCACTCGATAACAGGTAGAGATTTTTGTCATTCATATCTAGACAATTATGTTAATCGTAAAATTATAATTATCCTAAGGAGACTTATGACATGTGATAGTCAGGAGATGGTTCAGCTACGGATTCGGTAGTGAACAAAGGATTCGGGAACTCTGGCGGATGTGGCAGTGGTCCGGCAGTCTTTGGCTGACGTCTATACGCCATAAGCCAGCATGATACAGCAATGGCCACAGCGACCAGCGCCAGAAGTGCTGTGATTACCAATGCTATGATAAAGCCGACCATAGACACGCAAATATCTTCTACACGTTGAGCAGCGGGAGCTGAAAAAAAGAAAACTACGAATGAATATGATTCGTAAATTGATTTGAACGTAACCCAACATAAATTTAAATTTCTCGCCGACGAAGCTTTCGAATCTATCGCAATTACCTTCGGCTGGATCTGCCGTGTATCTCTCCTCCCTTCTTTCCAGAGTATATATAGAATTTGATTGAATAGTAATCTCTTCTCGAAGCTGACCTTCGTATCCATCAGTTACACTCAGAGCAGTGTCGTTAGGATCAGAGTCAACGTCCCTACGCCGACGACCGAAGGCATTGTATCCTCGGCAATTGACCTGGCGAATTAAGAACGTACGTTAGATCAGAGAGTAGATCTTCTTTATGGGGATAGAAAGTATTGATACTGGAAATTAGGATATTTGGTTCTTACAGGTTGACACCGTCCAAAGCACACACGAATGTTACACTGGAATCTGATATTATCACTGCTGGGGAATTTGAAAGCATTGAAAGTAGCCATCAACGATTGAGTTTCAGGATTTTGTTCCCATTCGCCAAATATCGTGGGATCTGTGGCACAGCCGTTTTCATCTGTTACTATATATTCATTTTCCATGTTGTCCTCCATTGTCTTGGCCACACAGTTGCGTGCAAATCCTCCATAAATAGCTGTAAGATATTAGACAATTTTACAAACTATTCTATTTCACAATATTATATGCAACATATTTATAGGATACTCACATGAAGGTTGCACGTCGACCTGCAACATTAGATTATCTCCAATTTCAGCCGAACTGATCTCTTTTCCATTCTGCGTGACGATCTTCATTAGACATTCTGGTGGAGGACCGGTATTGGCAATGGTACCAGCAGTAGTTAACATGGAGACATTGAAGCCCAAGGTCACATTTTGTTCTCCAGTTTGATATATACATTTAATGTGATATGCCTGAGCTTTGTATGTGATGAGTTTAGGATGTTTTTGAATAACCAAAACGAAACTGGCTTGGCCCTGTAGAAGAAGAACAAGTATTAGACTAATTGAAGGTACATTCCCGGAAGGAAAGTAAATCGTAGAGTAGCAATGCACTTACGTTTACATGAATGAGACCACAGCTTCCAAATGCAACCTTAAAGATTTCTGCGCGAGCTACTGAATCTCCTGGTATTGAAACAACGCGCCTACATTGTTCATCCTTACTGTGTCCTTTGACATAAAGAACGCCATTGAAAGCTTGTTCCTGGAGATGAATCTCAACCTGAACTCCATCAGAGAGACAGCTCACGACCATCTCAGGCTTGGGGAAGTCTGTTCTAAGTCTGTTCTTGTCAGCTAAAGAAGAATGACAATGATTACATAACATAGTTTATGCGAATGATTGGTTTATTAATAATTAGTAATGATGAATTTGAACTCACTGCAGTGAGTATAGGCGTCACCGCTGTAACCATTAATGCAAACGCATATAGCTTGATGCTGAGTTGCGTTACAAAGTGCATTAACACCGCAGAGCAATTTAGTACATGGATCTTCGCAAGTACCGCTTGATATCTCGCAATATTTGTTATCAGTACAGTCATCATCGCGCGAGCATTCAATAGTGCCGACTAAAATGTTAAGTTAGCTGGAGTTAGCATATGATGGATGGATTGGCATTATTTTGGCAACGCCTTGTTATTGGATTATACCGTACGTCACATGGTGACAGCCATTACTTATTTTTGCTTGCTGGATGAAAAATGCAAATAAATAAAAAAATAAAATAGAGACTTACGTAGTTTGCAGTTTCCATCAGTATCCAGAATGTAGCCGTGTTCTATAGGACAGACACAGCGTCCGTACTCATCTATAACCATTCCCCTTTCTAGAGCACATTCGCAATATCCATCAGAGGTGATTTTCATTCCAGATTCTTTGCGACAGAGTACGCAGTTGTCATTCTGATCCTTGGCAGTGCCTGGTTGACAGACGCAATTGCCATTGATATCACGTACTTGCCCCTTCTCAATAGCGCAGATGTTTGCTGGGGAACAGGGTGTCATTGACATTAGTTTAACAGACAAGGAGAACAGCAGCTATACAATTTATAAGGATAGTAAGTATCAGGGATAAGTACCTTTGTCACAACGTACTACTGCGTTACCACGGAATCCTGGCAGACAATCACAAATCATTGTTCTTACAGGATTAGTGTCCAGAACCTTGCATTCTGCGTTGATACCACACGGTGCGATCTTGTCGCAAGGATTGATACATTCCCCGTCGAAGCAGGCAGTTTGAGAAGGACATTCAAAGTCTGCTTTGCATCGTGACACAACCTTAGTACACCCTGATTTAGTATCGCCAATGTATCCGATCGGACATGAGCATTCCACAGCATGATTGTCAACGACACATTCTGTCTGTCCAGTGCAAGGATTGAAGTCGCATGGGTTTTCGCACCTGTTGTTAATGCATGCCTTGTTCCTAGGACAATCCGAGCTACTCTTGCATCCTATAAGTACACAAGAAACGCGAGGATTGCCTCCGTAACCTGATGGACATTCACATATGGCTTTGTGATTTATTCCTTGGCAATGTGCGCCCTTTCCGCAATTGGCTAATCCAGGAGAGCAGGCTGGTACGCAATTTTGTTGTAAGCATGCGTGAGTTCCTCTGCATTCACTATCTACTCTGCATCCGACTACTGTAAAGAAGAGGAATATTTAATATTTATTTAGGTCTATCGATATATGAATAATTTAAAGATTGTGAGAGGTACCTCTGGTACATTCAATATCGGCATTTCCGGCGTAGCCGCTGACACACGTGCAGATGGGTTTGTGATTAACAACATTGCAGATCGCGTTATCGCCACAAGCGCATGGATCTTTACAAACGGCATTGATGCAAGCCTTTTCAGATGCGCAATCACTGTCTCTCGTGCACTCGATAGGGACAATAGGTTTCGTAGGTTGACAAGTGCCACTGCCACTGCTGACATAGCCGCTTGGACAAACACATATCATCGTGCGAACCGGAAGGCTTGGCAAAACTTTACACTCTGATGGTTCTCTGCAAGGATGGATGATCGTGCAAGGATTCTGACATTTGTGATTGAGACATGCCAATAGATCTGGACAGTCCCCATCCTGTCTGCATTCTGGTTCTGGTTCTTGTTGACATTTTACATAAGGATTGCCAGTGTAATGCGGTGGGCATCTGCAGATCGGCAAATGATTCTGCACTCTGCATTCAGCCCTGGGCGAGCAAGGATTCTCATGTATGCAAGGATCGATACACTGCATATTTGTACAGGCATGATCACCAGGACAATCACTGTTACTGTAACATCCAATCACACGACATTTGTCCAGAGGACTTCCGTGGTAGCCGTTGCGACAGCGGCAATCTGCTACGTGATTGTTTGCGAAGCATTCCGCATTCACGCCGCATGGATCAGATAACAGACATGGATTTACACAGTTGTTGTTCACGCAGGCCTTGTCCAGCATACATTCAGAATCATGTTCACACTCTACGCTGTAGCAGGCGATTTCTGGATTCCCTTGGTATCCCTCTTGACAGGAACACACTGGCTTGTGATTCTTTACGTAACATGCTGCGTTTGTACCGCAGCTGCAAGGATTGCGACATTGTCTATTGACGCAAGCGTCCCGGTCGCTACACTCGTCATCCGTGGTACATCCTCTGGTTGTTGTCAGTTGTACTATAACATTAATGGAACAACATTGGTAAAGGCACCCAGTCACAACAGTATTCATGTTTATAGTAATTTACTTACTTGGTCTACATATTCCATCAGAATCAGTAACCCATCCTTGAGGGCAAGTGCAGACCATAGTTCGTACAGGTACAGTATCCAGGACGTCACAACGAGCGTTCTCCAAGCATGGTCTGATTACCGTGCAAGGGTCAACACATGTATCACGAATGCAGGCTAATTTACTTGGGCAGTCAATGTCCTGTTTACATTCTGGTTTGTCATGCTCTAATGGTGGTCGACGTTCACAGTACGAATATGGATTTCCTGATGGTATATGCTCAGGGCATCTGCATTGAGCTGCGTGATTTTGCACGTAGCATATTGCATTTTGAGCACATGGTGACTGCGTGCTGCAAGGATTTACGCAGCGTCTGTTTTGACAAGCTAGATTCTGAGGACACTCGTAGTCGCTGTTACATTCTGCTCTCTCGCACTGCACTTCAGGGTTTCCAAAGTATCCTGGACCGCATCTGCATGCTGAACGATGATTCTGACCGTAGCATTCGGCGTTTATTGCACATTTGTTCTCTAGGATGCAAGGATTTACGCATTGGCTGTTGTAGCAGGTGTCTGAGTAGCTACAGTCATTGTCTGACTCGCATTCCACTGTAAGGTAAGTACATCGATTGAAAAAAGGTCCTATTTACTTAATAGAATTTTATGATCTTTGAAAAGGTTCTTACGTTTGGTACATTTCAGTTGAGGATTTCCAGAATAGCCAGGCAAACATACGCAGGATGGATAATGATTGGTAACAATACATTTAGCATTTGGTCCGCAGTTGCAAGGACTGGCACAGAGATTGTTCACACATGCCTCTGTACCAGCACATTCGCTATTGGAAAGACATCCAGCAACAATCGCAGCTGCAAAATAGTACAGTTAGTTTACAAGATCCTTGTTCACATCATGTTTGTCCATCTATGAATTATTGACTGCTTACGTGGTATGCATTCAGTTCTTGGGTCTCCCATGTAGTTGGATGGACATTTGCAAACTGGATAGTGATTATCGACGTGGCACAATGAATTCCTGCCGCAAGGATCACCTGCGACGCAAGGATTTGCGCAGCGAGAATTGATGCACTGTCTGTCATTAGAGCAATCATCGTTTGCGTAACATTCTGGTTGACTTGGTGGAAGCGGAGTCTTGGGTTCTGTGACAGAAAAATTATGAACGTCAGTCTTTAGCCCTGAACCAATGTTCCAGGTAATAAAAATGATAGACGTACCTGGAGAGCATTCAACGTAAGGATTGCCTACATATCCTGCAGCACAGAAACATGTACCACTGTGGAAACTGGATCTGCATTGAGCATTGATTCCACATCGGGAAGTTAGACAAGCTTCAATGCATCTGCCGCTTGAGCATTTCTCATGGTCGGTACAATCATCATCTATTCGACACTGGACATCATCTACCACTGTAATTAAAAAAATAGTTTGCTAAAGATACGTACAAGGATTGACAATAAGTAAAAGACTAGCTTGGAATAAGTATTTTACTCACCGATCTTCTTGCAGTTGCCATTGAAATCAGTTATGGTGTTTGGTGGGCACTGACAGATCATTGTACGCAGAGGTATTGTATCTAATACTCTGCATTCTTGTTCGCTGGTACACATGTTGGAAGATGCACAAGGATCTTGACATTTTGTATTTATACATGCCAGGGCTGCAGGACATTCGCTGTCTGCTCTACACTCAGGTTCATGAACTGTGGGTTCGGTAGGTCCAGGACCTTGAAAGAAAAATGTATGAATAAAATAATAATCCAGAAATTAAACTTTAATAGTACAAAATAATTAGCAGGATGATTACCAATGCATTCAATGTATGGATTTCCAGTGGTACCAGGTCCACATATGCATTTCGGTTGATGATCCCTTGCCAAACAAGTTGCAGTCTCTGCACAAGTATCATCGTCGCAAACAGGTCTACAGACTCTATTGAGTCTGTCACAAGCTTCATGGTCGGCACAGTCTTCGTTGTAGTGACAAATTGCAGATATGCAAGCGATTCTTGGATCGCCCTGTGTACCTGCTGGACATGTGCACTGAGCTTTGTGTGCAGTTACAGTGCATTCTGCACCACGACCACAGACAATCTCATTGATCTGGCAAGGAGCGATGCAGTAGCTGTTTCTGCAGGCTTTCTCGTAGGGACAATCACTGTCTGATTTACATTCGGCTGAAAAAACAGTGTTCATAATTAATAATAGCATATAGAGGACTCCCTTATATCATACTTTATCAGTATAAAGTTTATGATACTTACGTTTGAAGCATTGCACTTGTGGATCTCCAGCGTAACCTTGCTGACAATGACAGGTTGGATGGTGATTTACTGTGGTACATTCAGCATTGGATCCGCAACGATTACTTAAGCATGGATTTTGGCATAATTGATTTATGCATGCCTCATTCGATGAACATTCAGAGTCTGACTGGCATTCAGGAAGAACCGTGGTTTCTGTCAAAAACAAAGAATTTATTGTTTAAGACTAAGTTCGTTTCGATGGAAATAATTGAATCAGGTGTATATATTAAATCATTGGATGTCTTTACCTATATAGCAATTAAGGTATGGATCCCCAACTAATCCTGCAGAACACTGGCAAATATGACGATGATTTTCTACATGGCATTCGGCTGTTCTTGCACAGGAATTGATAGTGCATGGGTTCACGCAAATTCGGTTCAAGCAAGCCATACTTAGATCACATTCATTATCAGATCTACAGCCAGGCTCCACAGTCTTATCCACTGAAAAATTAATAATAATTAATTTCCAAAATTGGTACTGTGATTCCAGAGTCAAATTGTAATCACGCCAGTAGGTACGTACATGGTTTGCAAACAACGTTGGCATCGCCAATAAAGTTGGGTAAACATTCGCAAACCATTGTCCTCATTGGCAATGTATCTACTACAGTGCATTGTGCATTGGTACCACAAGGTTGTGATTGACTGCATGGGTTCTTGCATGTGCCACTGAAGCAAGCAAGCTTACTTGGACAGTCACCATCCATTCTACATTCAGGAATTTCTTCGATTGGTTCTATAAAAATAAAGAAAGATACTTAGTCATATAATTTATTCCACAGATTCAATTAAAAACTAAAACTTACCCATGGTGCATGATGTATAAGGATCACCCAAATACCCAGGTGGACATCTGCAAGTTGGTCGATGATTGATAACAGTACATTGCGCGGATGGTGGACAGTTGCAAGGATCAACACATCTCAGGTCTCGACAAGCCAAGAAGGTTGAACAATCATTGTCCTTTGTACATTCTGGCCTTTCACATATTTGATATGGATTTCCAAGATAACCAGTAGGACAATAGCAAGTAGAACGATGGTATCCGTCAGAGCGGCATTGTGCATTTATTCCACATTGTGTTATCAAACAGGTATCGACGCATTCTTTGTTTATGCAGGATTGACTCGATGCACATTCATTATCGCTGCGACATCCGATCTCACGACAATATTGTTGAGGATTGCCAGTGTAGCCGTCATTGCATACACAAACTGCACGATGTAGTTGCACGTGGCACTGACTGTTCAATCCGCAGGAATTGAGACTGCATGGGTTCACACATCTTTGTTCGAAACAAGCCTTATCGTTTGTGCAATCCGAATTTTGAATGCATTCTGGTTTTGGTGGGTCTACGGATAGCAAATATTGTAGCAGTCGCAAGGTATTGTTATTGAACAATTAAGTTGATTGTTACTCCAAGAAAAATAAGGAAACGTTACCTGGTACCGCGAAAGGAATTGTGCACTGCACTTGAGCATTTCCAACGTATCCTCTGGGACACGAGCAGACAGGCTTATGATTGACAGTTTGACAGAGAGAATTGACACCGCAGGCTCCAATGCAAGGATCTCTACATTTCTGTGAGAAGCAAGCTCTATCGCGTGGGCAGTCATCGTTGATAACGCATTCTGGATAGATACATACAGCTGCGCCATTTCTGACTCTGCACTCGCCATTCGAACTGCACGGTGATGGATTGCAAGGATCCGGTTCTAAAATGAAATTAAATGTTTAATGCAAAATCCACTTACTTGTCATAAATATGTAATAATTATTTCAATATTCACCTTCTTTCAAGAAGCATTCAACAAATGGATTTCCTATTAATGGAGCAGAGCAGCTGCAGAGTGGACTGTGATTGATTGGCTTGCAAATTGCACCAACTCCACAGACATTTCTCAGACAAGGATCAGTGCACTTGTTGTTGATACAAGCCTTGTCGCTAGGACAATCCGAACTAAGGACACATTCAGGATGGCATCCTGCCACACTGCTAGGAATTCCTTGTAGTTCTGGTAAGCATTTGCAGACTGCACTTCCTCCAACGTTTTCGCAATATGTGTTAGGTCCACAAGGTGATGGGATACACGGATTGGTCTCTTTTGGTGCTAAAAAAATGGTTTCTATTGTTATTTCCGCGAATTTACATACTCTCAATAGAAATATTAGGTGAATTATTTCTCAATTCAAGTCACCTTCGTATACTGGTCGGCAAAGTGTGAAAGCATCTCCGACGGTTGGGTAAGGACAGGAACATACTGGAACGTGGTTAGAAACTGTGCAGATTGCACCGATACCACAGGTACCTGGACAAGGATCCTCGCACTTGGTTCTTATGCATGCTCGTGTCTTGGGGCAATCGCTGTTCACCAGACATTCTGGATGACAACCTTGGTAAGGATCGCCTCTGTAGTCAGGAAGACATTCGCAAATTGCAGTGCCGTAACGTTCCCGGCAGTGTGCATTGGCTCCGCATGGTGATAAATCGCATGGTCTTGCTTGGGCCGGAGGTGTATGTGGTTCTAAATAAAAAAAATGGATACGTTTAGTTTTTGTTGGATACCAATCCATGAAAAAGCACTGCAAGCTGAATTCATATGCGGATGGATAGCTACGCACGCGTACCAATGATTTTGTCTAACTTATATAAACACAAGAATATACATTTATTTACAAAAAAAGAAATATCTGTAGACGTTGATATGATACATCGGTCAATATATATAGATTGATATATATGACTCTCATTGCGAATTTTAAAGCTTGAATCGTTTTATACAATGTACAAAATATTTCTCAGGTATTCATACTCAATTTTCACAGTGCAACTACAGTTTAAATTGGAGGACGACATGCGTATCGTATATACAATAAATACAGTACATAACTGAAAGAACAAAAATATATGGTGAACAGAGATGAATCATCAATAAGACATGCAACGATCATTAAATGTGAATATAAAATGATTGAATCGTCGATCAAACGATTGTCCATTCTTTTTTTAATGGTTTCAATCAACCGATGAAGCTTATCGCAATTTGCTGAATGTTTTGAAAAGCTGCAGCATTGGCGTATAAATGTATCAATTATATTCTTACGCTGTAGCACAGAACAAACTGTGAACGGGTTTCCTGTGTATCCCTCTGGACAAGTGCATCTAGGTTGATGCGAGCTGACGTGGCAGAGTGCATTAGCACCACAGGACCCAACGCAAGGATCACTGCACTTTTGTCTGATACAAGCCTGGTGGGTAGGACACTCGCTATTTTGAATGCACTCGGGTCTACAATTAGGTGGATTGCCTAAGAACGTGGGTAGGCAAGAGCAAGAGGGTGTGTTTCCAGCAGAAGGTGTACAGCGGGCATTGAGGCCACATGGCGAAGGGTTACAGGGATCCCTTACTGTTACTTCATCCACTTTTTCTACATCATGAAAAACTCGTTAGCTTCTTAAATGTTTTTGGTAAACAAAAAGCTCATCCCAGTATAAAATTACTTACGCATTATGAAACAATTGACGAATGGATCTCCAGAATAACGTGGGGGACAGCTACAAATTGGATTGTGATTGCGAACGGTGCAGTATGCATTCAGTCCACATTGGCCAGTACATGGATTCTGACATTTCTGATTGATGCAAGCTCTAGTCTGTTCGCAATCTGTACTGACAACGCATTCCGGTCTACAACTTGGTGGAATTCCAATGTAGCCAGGGATGCAAGAACAGGACGCTTGACTTCCATATTGTCGGCAAATGCTATTTGGTCCGCATGGCGAAGGATTGCAGGGGTCTATAACTTCTACCGCTGTTTAGGAGATGACAAAGTCAATTCTAGTCTCTCGTTAAATATTATTATTATACCTAGAAGTAAACTCACTCTTGATAGGATTGCACAGTGTAAATGGATCTCCTTCATGTTTGGCTATGCAACTGCACATTGGTATGTGATTCACAACACTGCATTCTGCATTGCGACCACAGACTCCAGGGCATGGGTCAATGCACTTGTTATAAGAACAAGCTTTGTTAAGGGCACAATCAGAATTCTGAATGCATTCCGGTCGGCATGCATGATATGGATCGCCATGGTATTCAGGGAGACAAGTGCAGATGCCATTATCACAACGAGCATTAGCTCCACATGGTGAAGGATTGCATGGATCTCGAATAACTGGTGTTTCTGTAGATTTAAGTTTAATGTATTACCTCTCTCTTGTAATACCTTAATGTAATATTTGAATAAAATTATGAATTTTCCTTACGTTGTGGCGGCGGCGGTGGTAATGGCGTGGGATAGCAACCGCTGAAAGGATCTCCTGTGTAACCTGCTGGGCAGGTACACATTGGTGTATGATAAACCACAGTACACTGTGCTCTCAGTCCACAAGAACCAGGGCATGGATCTTTACACTTTTCTCTTATGCAAGCCTTGTTGCTGGGACATTCTGAGTTTATAGTACACTCAGGTCGGCAGTATGGTGGTGAACCAATGTAAGTTGGTAGGCAAGAACACATAGCTAAATCGCCAATATTTCGGCAGGTGGCAAATGGTCCGCAGTGTGCAGTTATACAAGGATTGGTAAGTTCAGATCCTTGTGGTGGTGCTAAAATTAATGATGAATCGTTTATCGAAATTTGTATAAGATCTTTTAAATTATTTATGAATGGTTTTAAAAATGCTTGGTAGAACTTACGAGGTATTTCGAAACATTTTACGAATGGATCGCCAGTCAATCCTGCTTTGCAGCTGCAGATAGGACTGTGGTATATAGTCTCGCATCTGGCATTAATGCCACAGATACCAGGACATGGGTCCACGCATTTCTGATTGACGCAAGCACGGTTTGTAGGACATTCTGAACTGACAACGCATTCTGGTCTACATCCTGGAGGACTGCCGAGATAAGTTGGCAGGCAAGAGCAGCTGGCTTGGTCATTGACATTTCTACATTGACTATTCGGTCCACAAGGTGAAGGATTGCAAGGATCATGTTCGACAGGTTCAGCTATGAAGATTTAAAAATAAATAAATATTGGTCTTCTAGATAATTTTTTTGGAAAACTACCGAGAGTCTAGAGACTTACGTATTTGACGTATGATGTCACAGTAACGGAATGGATCACCAGTGTAACCAGGTTGACAAGTGCAAGATGGTGAATGATTGATAACTTGACAAACTGCGTTCTGTCCGCAGGTTCCCGGACAAGGGTTCTGACACTTGGTTCGAATACAAGCACGGTCTGATGTACAGTCCGTGTTAATGACACACTCAGGTCGACAACCTTCGTAAGGATTTCCATAGAAATCAGGTAGACAAGTGCAAGAACCTGCACCGTAAGACTCGCGACAAATTGCATTAGCACCGCAAGGAGATGGTTGACACGGATTGATCTTCTCAGGAGGGATGGCTTCGACTAAAAGAAAATTTTCTGTGTCATTCAAAGGTGATTAAGGCAAAAAATGTTGATCCTGGAAGATCATTCTTACCCTTTTGCACGGTACACTGTATAAATGGATTTCCTGTGTAACCCTGAACACATAAGCACATTGGAGTATGGCTGATTACTCTACACTCAGCATTGATACCACAAGAACCAGGACAAGGATCCTGGCATTTCTTATTGATACAAGCCAAGTTACTAGAACATTCGCTGTTACTACTGCACTCAGGTCTACAGTTCGGTGGTGATCCAATAAATTCAGCGAGACAAGAGCAAGATGGAGAATCATTAACTACTTGACACTGTGCATTGGGGCCACATGGTGATGGTTGGCATGGATTTATTGGTGGTTCTGGCTCTCTCCCTAAAAGGAGAAAAACTCGTTCTAGTGCTCATGTAATAAAAAATGAATTTCGAAAGTAACCAGTGTCACAATTTTAAAATAATCCTTACTTATTTCTTCACAACGAACGAATGGATCTCCAGTGTACTGCGATGGGCAACTACAAATTGGGTTGTGATTGACCACTGAGCACTGTGCGAACAGGCCACAAGTTCCTGGACATGGGTCGATGCATTTCTGATTATTACAAGCTCTGTTACGAGCACAGTCTGAGCTCACGACACATTCTGGTCTACAGGAAGGTGGTGCTCCGGTATAGCCTGGAATGCATGTGCAAGTAGCTTGACCGTTAATTGCTCTGCACAAACTATTAGGTCCGCATGGAGATGGGTTGCATGGGTCGCTGACTGTTGGGGCTGTATAGACAATATATTTTGTAGGAATTTATCAAAAATCGCATTTTATACTCGTTAAATGGTTTACTGGGAAGGAAAAACAAACCTGGAACTGGAGAGCATAGCACGAATGCATTTCCAGACATGTTCCTGGGACAACTGCACATAGGCAAGTGATTGATCACATTGCACTCTGCATTAGTACCACATGCACCGGGACAAGGGTCTTTGCACTTGTTGCGAATACATGCTTTGTCTCTGGGACAATCTGTATTTACAACACACTCCGGGCGACAGCCTGAATAAGGATTACCGAAATATTCAGGCAGACATGTACAAGTTCCTGCACTGCATTGTGCATTTGCACCACATGGCGATGGATTGCATGGGTCTGTTGGTAGTTCCACTGAAAGAAATTGCATTTTTCACATTTGTTGTACTTTGGATGACAGTGTAAACGATAATAATTTACTGAACGCGTGTGCATTGTTGCTGCTTACATGGAGGTGATGGTTTAGGACTGCAGTTACTGAATGGATCACCAGTGTATCCTTCAGGACATATGCAAACAGGTGTATGGTTAACAACGGTACACAGTGCTCCAAAACCGCAGGATCCTGGACAAGGGTCTCTGCATTTTTCTCTTATGCAAGCCTTGTTGCTTGTACAGTCAGAATTAATAGAACACTCAGGTCGGCAATTGGGTGGTACTCCGATATAATTGTTTATGCAACTGCACGAATAAGTGTCACCAATTGCTCTGCAAATAGCATTTGGACCGCAGGGTGAAGGATTGCATGGATCCTTGGGATATTCCTTCTCTGGTACAGGTGCTAATAAATTACAAAAAAAATTGTAAGGATAAAAACAATCGTATATAAAGTAAAAGCATAGCGAATTTTAAATCAACAGTGAATAGGGAGGCCCATATTCCTTTTTTTGACTCACTGTTAATGAACTTAAAAGCATATGGCAAATTTTTTAATTTCTTAGACTTACGAGGTATATCGTAACAATAACTGAATGGATCTCCTGTTTGTTCGTTTACGCAACTGCACATTGGACTGTGATTGATTACTTTGCAAACTGCATTGTGACCACAGGTTCCCGGACAGGGATCTTTACACTTCATATTGATACAGGCAAGATTGGCACTACATTCTGAACTGACGACACACTCTGGTCTACAATTTGGTGCAGTTCCAACATATTCTGGTAGACACGAACACGAAGCATATCCATTATTGTCACGGCATTGGCTATTGGGTCCACAGGGTGATGGATTGCAAGGATCAAATACAGTTGGTTCAACTATATAAAAAAAAAATTAAGAATTCGTATTACAAAGACGTTGATTTAAATACAAATAGAGCAGATTCATTGATTTTTAACATGTCTACTATTTTGGGAACACTCACTTTGCTGAGGAATTTGATTACAATAAGTAAATGGATCTCCTGTGTATCCATGTAGGCAAGTGCACATTGGCAGGTGCGATACTACTTGACATTCAGCATTTCTTCCACACGTTCCAGGACAAGGATTTTGACATTTAGATCTTATACATGCCAAGTTCGCAGGACAATCTGTATTGATGATACATTCGGGTCTGCATCCTTCATAAGGATTGCCAATATATTCTGGCAAACAAATGCAAGAACCTGCACCATTCTGTTCTCTGCATACTGCATTTGCACCGCAAGGGGAAGGTACGCAAGGTTGCCGAGGAACGTCTGCTACGGCTAATGTTAAAATAACAAAAGAAATTCAAGTTCAATGCAATAAGTGAAACCTGAATTGGAATGAATAAAAAGAAAATGTGATCCTCACGTTGTTTAACGGTGCATTGAACGAATGGATCGCCTTCATATCCGGTAGCGCAGATGCACATAGGAGTATGGCTAATGACACGGCATTCAGCATTGGCACCGCATGAGCCAGGACAAGGATCTTTACATTTCTGGTTTATGCAAGCCAAATGGCTACTGCACTCGCTACTCGTGATGCACTCTGGTCTGCAGTTAGGTGGAGAACCAATATATTCTGATAAGCAAGAGCAAGACGGAGCATCATTCACGACTTGACATTGTGCATTGGGGCCACATGGTGATGGCTGACAAGGGTTCGTAGGAGGCGGTCTAGGTGTTTCAGCTAAAATTTATGTTGAATGATTAGAAATAGTGAATAGAGAAGTATGATAAGGCAAAGAATTCCTTTGGGATACATACGAATTGGTGTGCATCGTATGAATGGGTCACCAGTAAAGATTGGTGGACAGCTGCATATTGGATTGTGATTGAGAACTTGGCAATAGGCTGAAAGACCACATGTGCCTGGACAAGGATCTCTGCACTTTTGATTAATGCAAGCCTCATTCAATGCACATTCCGAATTGACTATACACTCTGGTCGACATCCTGGTGGATTTCCAATGAATCCAGGAACGCACGTGCATACTACTTGACCATTAATTGCTTGGCAACGACTGTTAGGACCACATGGTGATGGATTGCAAGGATCAACATCGTCCACTTCTGGAAAATTCATTTTTACGGTTGTAATGTCTTGTCTTATTGCACTTGGAAGGAATGTATAAATTCGATAGTTACTTTCGACTGGTAAACAGATAGCAAATGCATTTCCTGCCATTCCACTGGGACAACTGCACATGGGTACGTGATTGATAACTGTGCATTCTGCATTCTGTCCGCAGACTCCTGGACATGGATCAGCGCACTTGTTACGAATACAAGCCTTATTGAAGGGACAGTCCGGATTTTGAACGCATTCCGGCCGACAACCATAATAAGGATCTCCATGATATTCTGGTATGCAGGTGCAAGTACCATCGCGACATATTGCATTTGCACCACACGGTGAAGGATTGCATGGATCTTGAGGAATTTGTACTACCGCTACAACATTGATAAAGTCGCTTATGAATTCTTTAAATTGCTACTAACAATGTCAAAATATTTTTTAAAAAATTATTCTTACGAGATGGTGGTTTAGGTGAACAACTACTGAATGGATCACCGGTATATCCTTCAGGACATGTGCATATTGGTGTATGGTTAACAACAGAACATTGTGCTCCTATGCCACAAGATCCTGGACAAGGATCCTTGCACTTTTGATTCAAACAAGCCTTATTGCTCACACACTCAGAATTGATTGTACATTCCGGACGGCAATTAGGCGGAGAACCAATATAGTCATTGGTACAAGAGCATGATGGTAATCCACCAACATTTCTACATATGGCGAATGGACCGCATGGAGATGGTACGCAAGGATCAGATTCTGGCCGAGGTTCTGGTGGACCTAAGATGCAAAACAATTAATCTCTCTTCATCCCGTAACACTTTTGTCTCTGGTATATACTTGGGATATACTTACGAGGAATGTCAAAGCATCTCACAAATGGATCACCAGTCAATCCCGAATTGCAGCTGCAAATGGGACTGTGATTGATGACCTCACACTTGGCATTGACGCCACAAATACCTGGACACGGGTCCACGCATTTCTGATTAACGCAAGCGCGATTACTGGGACATTCTGAACTAACGGTACATTCTGGTCTGCAAGACGGCGGTCTGCCAATATATGTTGGTAAACAAGTACACACTGCTACACCATTAGATTCTCGACATTGGCTATTGGGTCCACATTGAGAAGGATTGCAAACATCAACGACTGGTGATTCGGCTGTGTAAAAGATAGTTGAAAGTTATTTTTAGCAAAGTAACTAATTCAATGCATGAATGTTTCTAATATAAGAGACTTACGAATTCGTTCTATCAAGTTGCAGTATCTGAACGGATCACCGGTGTAACCCGGTTGACAAGTGCAGGATGGCAAATGATTGATAACTTGACAGACAGCATTCTGACCACAAGTTCCTGGACATGGATTCTGACATTTGGATTTTATACAAGCCTTATCCGAAGTACAGTCCGAGTTAATGATACATTCAGGTCGACAACCCTCATACGGATTTCCAATGTAATCAGGCAAACAGGTACAAGATCCTGCACCATTAGATTCTCTACAAACGGCATTAGAACCGCAAGGAGATGGTATGCATGGCGTTGGTTTGTCAACGGAAACTGGCTCCACTATAAAATGAATTGTTTCAGATGTAGTTAACAGGAAAGTTCTGATGATCTTTTCAAAAGTTAATAAATTACTCACTCTGCTTGATAACACACTGAGTAAATGGATCCCCGATAAAACCTAATGAGCAGACGCACATTGGCGTGTGACTGATTACTCTACAGTCTGCATTTATGCCACAAGAACCTGGACAAGGGTCCCTGCACTTTTGATTGATGCAGGCGAGGTTCGTTGAGCACTCACTATTGCTAACACACTCTGGTCTACAATTTGGTGGCTGTCCGATAAATTCAGGTAGACAAGAACAGGAAGGTGAATCATTTACAACCTGGCATTGAGCATTGGGACCACAAGGTGATGGTTGACATGGGTTCGAAGGAATATCCGGTAGTTTTTCTATAAAAGAAAATTGGAGTTTGGATTACATGTGCATGGTGATCAAATTGATACCTGCATCGCATACTTACCAATTGGTCGACACAAAAGGAATGGATCACCAGTTAAATCAAATGGACAGCTGCAGATTGGATTGTGATTAACTACATTGCACTGCGCTCTTATACCACAAGTTCCTGGACATGGGTCTATGCATTTTTGGTTACTGCAGGCCATATTCAGTGCACAGTCAGAGCTGATAGTACACTCTGGTCTACAATTTGGTGGGGCACCTAAATATCCTAGTATGCAAGAGCACACTGCTTGTCCATTTATCTTACGGCACTGACTGTTCGAGCCACATGGTGATGGATTGCACGGGTCTCGTGGTGGAGGTACTAGAATCCAAGGGTCAATATTATAGAATCTAAAAATGCAAGGACACAACGAAGCTAAATAAAATAAAATTTGTACCTTCTATCGGGGAGCAAGCTAAAAATGCGTTACCAATCGTACCGGATGGACAGGTACAAATCGGAACATGATTTACCACACTGCAAATTGCATTCTGACTGCAAGTACCAATACAAGGATCCTTGCATTTGTTTCTGATGCAAGCTTTGTCTCTAGGACAATCAGGATTGAGAACGCACTCTGGTCGACAACCTACGTATGGATCACCTTGATATTCTGGTAAGCAAGTGCATATTCCGTTAAGACATTGTGTGTTTGAGCCACAATTTGCACAAGGATCAACCAATGATGGCTCTTGTACTGCAAACGGAGATTTCGATTATAGATTTCCTCTTTAGATTGATTTAAGATGAAGAAAGCTACATGGGAAATTTCTTACGTATTTCTTTTACAGTACATCTGGTGAATGGATCTCCAGTGAACCCATCTGGACAAATGCACATGGGTGTATGGTTTACCACAGTACACTGTGCTCCTAAACCACATGATCCTGGACAAGGGTCTCTGCACTTGGACTGGAGACAAGCTAAGTTACTAGAGCAATCTGGATTGATTGTACACTCTGGTCTGCAATTTGGTGGTGATCCAATGAAAGTTGACAAACAGGCACAAGAAGCCTGGCCATTGACATCCCTACATTCTGAATTTGGTCCACAGGGTGACGGTACGCACGGATTAACATATGGTGGATGAGGTACAGGTTCTTGAACTGCAAGAATATTTGAAATTAAAGTATCTTTAAAGCGAATCATCTGTCAAGCCTTGAAATAGTCTTACCAGGTATCTTGAAACAATTAACGAAGGGATCACCAGTGTAACCAGGTTGGCAAACGCAAATAGGGCTATGATTGATAGTATCGCATCTCGAATTCGAACCGCAAGTTCCTGGACAAGGATCAACACACTTTCTGTTCACACAAGCTCGGTTTGATGCACATTCCGAACTTCCTGTACACTCTGGTCGACATCCTGGTGGGCTACCAATGTATTCAGGTAAGCAAGAACATACAGATTGCCCATTGACAACTCTACATTGACTGTTGGGTCCGCAAGGGGATGGACTGCACGGGTCGGTTACAGGTGGCACAGTGTCTATGATAAAAATTCCCAAGGTAAGGATTTCATGTTAAACAAGGTCAAAGTGGAATCTAATGTATTAAGTACCTTCGTATATCGGGCTGCAATATCTAAATGGATCACCGGAGTATCTGGGATAACAAGTACACATTGGTAGATGATTAATAACTTGACATTCTGCGTTTAGACCACAAGTTCCTGGACACGGATCTTTGCACTTGGTATTTATGCACGATTGACTAGCTGGACAATCAGAATTGATCACGCATTCTGGTCTGCATCCCTCGTAAGGATTGCCAATATAATCCGGCAGACAAGTACATGATCCAGCACCGTTAAGTTCCTTGCACACAGCGTTGGAACCACATGGTGATGGTACACAGGGTCTCTCAGGAATAGATGGTTGTACTGTAAATGTTATGCAATTACAGATTTTCTGCCCAGCGCAATATCGAAATGCTGGTTTTTGCTATACTTACTCTCGATCACACTACACTGCGTGAAAGGATCACCTGTGTATCCACTCGCGCAGATACACATTGCAGTGTGACTAACGACTCTACATTCAGCATTGGCTCCGCATGACCCTGGACAAGGATCCTTGCACTTTTGATTGATACAGGCTAAGTTATTGAAACATTCACTGTTACTGACACACTCTGGTCTACAGTTTGGTGGAGCACCAGTGAATTCAGGAAGGCAAGAGCACGAAGGTGAATCACCGACAACCTGGCACTGTGCATTTGGACCGCAGGGGGATGGCTGACAAGGATCTACAGGTGCAACGACCTCATCGGCTGCAACGGGAAATTTAACGAAATTAAAAATACTAAACTCTGGCAAAATTAAAAGCAATCTGGCGAATCTTTTTTAAGCATACTAAGCAATACTCTTGAAATTCTTACGTATTGGCACGCATCGAATGAAGGGATCACCGGTGAATCGAATTGGACAGCTGCAGATTGGATTGTGATTCACAACGTCACACTTCGCTTTAAGTCCACAGGTTCCAGGGCAAGGATCTCTACACTTTTGGTTGCTGCAAGCTTCGTTCAATGCACAGTCCGTGCTTACGATACACTCGGGTCTACAGCTGGGCGGACTGCCGATATATCCTCTAATACAGGTGCATACACTGTGGCCATTTACCGCGCGACATTCACTGTTTGGTCCACAAGGCGATGGGCTACATTGATTGATTGGTATAGGAGCTGTCGATGGGAAGCGATAAAGTGTTTAGATTAGGTCTACTGAATTCTCTGAAATCATCACTCTAACTATTCTTAAGAGCAACCAGGAGGTAGCGTACCGTGAACAGGAGAACAGAAACTGAATGCATTGCCAGTCATATTCCCTGGGCAACTGCACATAGGTACGTGGTTGATGACCGTGCAAAGTGCATTAACGGCACAGGCACCAGGACATGGGTCTTTGCATTTGTTACGGAAACAAGCCTTATCCCGTGGGCAATCATCATTGAGTACGCATTCGGGACGGCAGCTGGAATAGGGATTGCCTTGATATTCCGGTAAACAGGTGCATACACCATCGTTGCATTCTGCATTCGGTCCGCATGGAGAAGGATTGCATTTGTCTACTGGAGTAGGTACGAACGCTGTAATAATATGGAGAAACGTAAGTTTAGATACCGCTAGGAATTGCTGTTACCGTTTGTCCTCAGGGATATGTCAATTCAGGGCTTACAATTTGGTGGCAGTAAGTTGCAACTGCTAAATGGATCGCCAGTATATCCTTCAGGGCAAGTACACATCGGGATGTGGTTTACCACAGCGCATCTGGCTGCAGCGCCACAAGAACCGAGACATGGATCCCGACATTTCTCATTGATGCAAGCCTTGTTGCTTGGACACTCGGAATTGATAGTGCACTCGGGTCTGCAGTTGGGTGGTTGACCTATGTAACTTTCTAGACAGGTGCAGGCTGGTGTACCGGCGATGTTACGGCACTGTGAGAAGCTTCCGCAGGGAGATGGCATACATGGATCTCTCTCGAATACAATACCTATTTCTGGTGCTGAAAATTGTTACAAGGTCAAGAATTCAGCGGGTTGAATTGGCATTGGTATAGTAAGCATTCAAAGCCATACGTTTGTGTATTCGTATGCGCATCTAAGCTCTTAATAAGTGAAACTAATAATATTTCCAAATAGGAAATATTATATGTAACGGCAAATGAAGCTGGGCAAGAAAGCGTTAAGTATATCCTTGAAGTCTTACGTGGTATGGGCGTGCATCTAGTGAACGGATCTCCGCTGTATCCAGGTTGGCAAGTGCAAATAGGGCTGTGATTAACGACAACGCAGTTTGTATTGAGTCCGCAAGGATTGGGACAAGGGTCCACGCATTTCTGATTGACACATGCCAAGTTGGCAGAGCATTCTGCACTGACGACACACTCGGGTCTACATCCTGGCGGGCTACCGATGTACGTGGGTAGACAAGAGCACACAGCCTGTCCATTAACTTCTCTGCACTGACTATTGGGTCCGCAGGGTGATGGGTTACAAAGATCTTTCTTTTCCTCGACAGCTAAGAAAAGGAATAGTTGTACATTGTTATGGATGGCATAGAATATTTTTTGCACGAGAAAAAAAGAAGCTTCAAATCCTCTTAAGGTTTATGAATTAATTGGAGTAAGGGTAGCTAAAACTTACTGGGCTCCGGTGGGAGAACACAGAAGGCAAAAGGATCACCAGTGTATCCAACACGACAGTTGCAAGATGGCAAATGATTTATTGCAGTGCATTCTGCATTTTGGCCACATGCACCAGGACAAGGATCCCTACATTTGAGTTGAATGCAAGACTGATAAGATGGACAGTCGGAGTTTATAACACACTCGGGTCTGCATCCTTCGTAAGGATTTCCAATGTAGTCAGGGACACAAGTGCAGGATCCTGCACCATTCAATTCTTTGCACACGGCGTTCGAGCCGCAGGGAGTCGGTACGCAAGGATTGCGTTTGTCATCGGGGATCGGTTCGTCTAGAACAATTGAAAAGAGCAGATTAAAATTAAATGTTCATATCTTTCAATTATAAGCCAAATAAGCACCCATAGCAGCATTCTTACATTGTACTGGCAAGCATTGCACAAATGGATTTCCAGAAAAATAGTTCGAGCACACGCAATTAGGCGTGTGACTCACTACATGACACTCTGCATTTAATCCACAAGATCCTGGACAAGGATCCTTGCACTTTTTATTGATACAAGCTTGGTGGCTGGGGCACTCGGAATTACTGATGCACTCGGGTCTACAGTTTGGTGGGGATCCTATATACTCGGCCAGACAAGAACAGGATGGCGAATCGTTTATAACTTGGCATTGGGCATTGGGTCCGCAGGGTGATGGTTGGCAAGGATTAACAGGTGGTGGTATATGTTCCGCTGTTATGAGAAAAATAACAGATTACATTATAAATGCCTCACCGGTATGTCTATAATATAAGACTTCGCATTTCATTTCTTTCTTACGTATCAAGGTACATCTGACGAATGGATCTCCTGTGTATCGTGGAGGACAAGAACAAATAGGATTGTGATTGATGACTGCGCATACAGCCTGTAAGCCACAGGTACCAGGACAAGGATCTCTGCACTTTTGATTCGTACAGGCTTCGTTCCTTGCGCAATCCGAGCTAACTATACACTCTGGCCTACAGGATGGTGGACTACCAAAGAAGTCTGGTGCGCAAGAACAAACGGCTACGCCGTTGATCTCGTGACAGATACTGTTGGGGCCACAGGGTGATGGATTGCACGGTCTTGTTGTGGGTGGAGCTGTTATTTTTAATAAAATATAATATTTTAGTTTGAATTATTGTCCTTAATAAAGTTTCATTGTTCTAATTGATTTCATGTATCATCCTATACCTTGTACAGGGCGACAGGATATCAAAGCGCTTCCAGTTGTACCAGCAGGACAACTACACATGGGTATATGATTTATGACGTTGCACAATGCATTTTGTCCACAAGTACCAGGACATGGGTCTACACATTTGTTACGTATACATGCTCTGTCGCGAGAACAGTCCGTATTTAAGACACATTCTGGTCTACATTCAATGTACGGATCACCAAAGTATTCTGGCAAGCAGGTGCAGATGCCATTGTCGCACTTGGCATTGGGACCACATGGTGAAGGGTTGCAGGGATTCGTTTCAATAGGCTCTGCAACTGTATAGGGGAGTCGGTATAATAAAATTCACTATAATAAAATAGATTAATTATTTCTTGGTAATTATAAATAAGGCTTACGTGGTGGTTTCAATTGGCAGCTAGTGAAAGGATCTCCTATGTATCCTTCCAAACATGTGCAGACGGGTACATGATTGTATACCGTACAGAGCGCATTCTGACCACAGGAACCTAGACATGGGTCTCTACATTTTTCTCTCATACAAGCCTTGTTGCTTGAACAGTCAGCATTGATAACGCATTCGGGTCTACAGGTTGGTGGACTTCCAATGTAGTTGGGTAAGCAAGAACAAGATGGAGATCCATAAACATTTCTACATTGAGAATGTGGTCCACATGGAGATGGAACGCAAGGATCTCTAGGGGATTCTGGTACAGGTGGTGGTGCTGAAAATTCATGAAATATTTGTTGAGCTTTAGTCAAAGCTAATAGAAAGTATCTATAACTTTGAAGTGTATCCAAACTTTGCTTACGTGGTATTGGGTAACAACGTATAAATGGATCACCAGTGTGTCCGTAGTTGCAAGTGCAAATTGGACTGTGATTCAGGACTGTGCATACTGACTGTTGTCCACAAGGGTCAGGACAAGGATTGACGCATTTCTGATTAACACAAGCACGATTGGATGGACATTCCGAGCTTACGACACATTCAGGTCTACAACTTGGTGGGCTTCCAATGTATGTTGGTAAGCAGGTGCAAATAGCTTGGCCACCTTGATCTCGACATTGACTGTATGGTCCACATGGGGATGGTACACAGGGATTGATTGGATCTTCTACGATTGCTAAAGAAATTACATATAGCTTAGAGAAATTGTACTTGATGTATCAGCGAGTTTTAAGTGAAATAAAAAATAGAAAAAGCTTACTAGCTGCTGGTATTGGATTACAGTAACGGAATGGATCTCCAGTGTATCCCACGAAACAAGTGCAAGATGGTTTATGGTTTAGCACATGACATTCTGCATTTTGTCCGCAGGTGCCAGGACAAGGATCCTTACACTTCGATGAAATACATGCCTGATTTGATGGACAATCAGAATTCAAAATACACTCTGGTCTACATCCTTCGTGAGGATTACCGATGTAGTCAGGTAGACACGTGCAAGAACCTGCATTTGATTGCACTTTGCATACTGCATTTGCACCGCATGGTGATGGCGTGCATGGTGCAATAGTATCTTGGGGAATGACTAAAACAGTATGACAATTTGTTACGTACTGGGGCTATTGAAATTGAATTTTTATCTCTGATAATTTCCTTACATTGCTGTGCTGAACACTGAGTGAATGGATCACCAGTAAAACCCACTTCACAAATGCACATTGGTGTATGACTAACGACATGACATTTTGCATTTGATCCACATGACCCCGGACAAGGATCTCGACATTTTTGATTGATGCACGCCAACTGACTAGGACATTCAGTGTTGCTCACACATTCTGGACGACAGTTCGGAGGTGACCCAGTGAATTCTGGTAGGCAAGAACAGGAAGGTGATTCGTTCACCACCTGACACTGGGCATTGGGTCCGCAGGGTGATGGGCGACAAGGATTGACGTATTCTGTAGGTTTCTCGGCTTTTGGGATTAGAAAGTATATAGTTTAGACATTTTTAAATAAAGATGAAACACTAAATATTGAAACCAGATGAAGAAAGTTCTTACGGATTGGTGTACAACGGATGAATGGATCACCAGTCATGCCTTGAGGACATGAACATATTGGATTATGATTGATGACATTACACGTTGCTCTAATTCCACAAGTTCCTGGACAAGGGTCACGACATTTTTGATTACTGCATGCCTCATTCTGAGGACATTCTGAGCTCACTACACATTCCGGTCTGCAAGTAGGTGGTGCACCAATGTAACCAGTGACACAAGAACAAATTGCATGTCCGTTATGTTGGCGACATTGACTATTCGGTCCACACGGAGATGGATTGCAAGGGTCACTGACAGGTGGAACTGTAAGGGAAATATTAGGTAAATTTGTAGAATTTTTATAGGGCATCTTGATAAATATATCCGCAAAAATTAATAATGGGGTAGTTTACGTACGCTCGATTGGAGAACAGAATACAAATACATTTCCCGTCATTCCCGATGGACAACTGCACATGGGAACATGATTGTACACATTGCATACTGCATTCGGTGCACAAGTTCCAGGGCAGGGGTCAATGCACTTGTTTCGTACACAGGCACGATTAAGTGGACAATCTGTATTGAGCACGCATTCTGGTCGACAACCAGTGTAAGGACTGCCTTGGTATTCTGGGAGACAGGTGCAGACACCGTCATTGCACTGGGCATTAGGTCCACATGGTGAAGGGTTGCAAGGATCTCTTGGAATCGGTTCAGGCGCTGCAATTATTGTTTGTGGTAAGACTATTGTTTCAAAATATCAATAATCGAGACAAGATTTGTTCTTACGTGGTGGTGGCTTAGGGTAACAATTACTGAAGGGATCTCCAGTGTATCCCTCAGGACAAGTGCACACCGGTATATGATTCATAACATTACACCTTGCTAAGACTCCACAAGATCCTGGACAAGGATCTTTACATTTTTCACGTATGCAAGCTTGACTACTAGGACATTCCGAATTGATTGTGCATTCTGGTCTACAGTTTGGAGGGCTTCCAATGTAACTCTGTAGACACGAGCATGAGGGTGATCCTCCAACATTACGACATTCTGCATTGGGTCCACATGGAGATGGTACACATGGGTCTCTTGGTAGTTCATCTTGGACAGGTGGTACAACTGCAATTGGCGTGGAGGACTGGTCATTTTTAATTCCAAAACCTGAGGTTGAGATTGTTCTTTATTTTTTTACACTTACGTGGCACAGGGAAACATCTGGTAAATGGATCACCAGTAAATCCTTGTATGCAACTGCAGAGTGGTGCATGATTAATCACTCTGCACTCTGAATTTTGACCACAAGGTGTTGGACATGGATTCTTGCATTTTTGTTGGATGCAAGCCTTATCAGATGGACACTCAGAACTAGTGACACATTCCGGCCTACAGGAAGGCGGAGTTCCCACGTAATTTGGAAGACACGAGCAAACTGCTACGTCATTTACTACTCTACATTGACTGTTAGGACCACAGTAAGCTTCAGCACACGGGTCAGTTTTGTCCATTTCCACAACTGGGGATAACAGAAAATATAAGTTTTGTATTCTGTCATTCTTCTTCGACAGAACAATGCAATAAGTGATAGGTATTCTCACCAATTGGCTGCTGCTCTGAACAATACCGGTAAGGATCCCCAGTGTACGTTGGATAACAAGAGCAAGTGGCAAGGTGATAAACAACATGACATTCTGCATTGGTAACACAAGTGCCAGGACAAGGGTCTATGCATTTAGAATTGACACAAGCTCGATTGGATGCGCAATCAGAATTTAGAGTACACTCTGGTCGACAACCCTCATAAGGATTGCCTATGTAATCCAGAAGGCAGGAGCAAGACCCTGCGCTATTGCGTTCAGTGCAAACAGCGTTTGGACCACAAGGAGATGGTAGACAGGGTGTTGGTCTTTCCGGTATGTCTTCCACTGTAAAAGTATCAATAGTCATGGAGGACATTGTAACTTTGATATTTTTATAATTGATAAAGTAATCAATTAAATTCTCACATGGCTTAATAACGCATTGCGTGAATGGGTCTCCTGTAAATCCTTCAGCACAGAAGCACATTGGTGTGTGACTGACTGTACGGCATTGTGCATTCGAACCACATGCACCAGGACAT